GATAAGTCTCTTGCCACTTACCTAGAAACGCTTAATATCGAAACTGAGTAATTCAATTAACCAAATATGAGAGAAGTGGAGATTGTTGGTGATCGAGTAATAAAGTGCACTACCCTCCAAGAAGCACGTAATTTAGAATACGTGCAAAACAAAGTATCTTGTCCCAAGATCTATGACTATTACACAAAGGACTCCAAGTTCTACATTGAAATGGAATATATTGCTGGAAAGACGTTATGTGATATGTGGCCAGAATTGAGTGAAGAGCAGAAACAGACTGTTACAGACAATATACTCAATGAATTGTATAAGCTAAGAAAAGAAACAGTGAATGAAATATGTGGGATTAATGATACTGTCATTGAAGATCCTTATTTCCTGCAATTGAAATTTGAATCTGAAAAAGAGTTTAATAAGCATATTTCATCATTTATTTAAATTAACAAGAAGTTAAACAGATTGATGTCTGAGGTTTTACCCACTAATAGCACAATGTGTCTTTCTTATGAAGAATTGAATTTTGAAAATATTATAGCAAGAGAAGAATTAACTGTTGTATTCATCAATTGGGAGTGTATGGGTTTTCTACCAGAATATTGGGATTTGATGAAAGCTTTTATTTGTAATTTTTCTGATCATAAAGCTTCTGCACGTCTTGTATTTCAAGATCATGTAGATAAGAATGCCATAATGATTTTTGACTATGTCAAAGATTTAATGTGCTATGAATTCAAACAGGAGTGAAGATTATTTTTGAGATTTTTATGTAATTACATAGTGTTATTTTTGTTATAAGAAGTTTTTACTCTTATGACCACACGTCTTATTTTTAATACATTTAACATCAAATATTACAGAAGCAGAAATCTCTCATGAAAGAATTATCAAAATCATCGGTTTTAACTATGGTAATAATTCAGATGTATTAAACTGCAATGATATAGTTTTATCTAAGTATACAATCAAAAGAATTTCCAGTATTTAAACTAAATTTTAATAAACAACTTAAGATAAAATCCTCTACAATTGAATCTTCGTTACTATTTCGTTTTAAATTTATCTTTGGAATAAACAATATTTCATACTTTCCACACAATTTTGAAATAAAAAATTAGCTTTATAATCTAAAGTCTAAAATCTTTATCAAAAATACGTTTATTGAAAAGATTGAAAATTTGTAACTTGAATATATTGATAGATGTGTGACAAATAAAGTTTGGTAGATTAATAGAATTAATATAATTTGGCCAATTTGGAATGTACAAAAACAATTAAAATGAGTCTGGATGAAATACAACTGACACCAGAATACTTACTTCAAAGAGGTGCTCAAAACAAAGATTAAAAATCCGCTGGCCATTTTTTTCGACAGATTTTGATTGTTGGTTTCTGTTATCAATATAAAACTTTTTCCAAGTCGTAGATAATAATATAATAAGTAATCAAACTCAAATCTAACACTGTCATCGGTAATAACAGCACAACAAGTGATGAGTTCAAGACATGAATTTGTAAGAGTATAAAATAATCTAAATATGATTTCAGCCATTGATCTGTTTTTCACAACAAATTATTGAATTCTGATGATCAATCAAGTAGATCAGTAGTCAAAACAAAGGTACTTTGACTGAAAAAGCATTGAAGCGAAGCTCTCTGGAAAAATAGTGGCTAAGTGGTTTGTCAAATTCAAAAGAAGCTACAATATATATAACCAGATTAATAAACATTTCTTCACAAATTAAGTGAATCTGTATTGTTTAATCATTTATGGATAAGAAAATTAACAAACAACAATCTGATCTTACTCCCTTGAAGGACAGACCTTGTTAGCACTGTTTGCAAAAGTTGTAATGTTAATAAATATTAACGCTGCAATACTAAAAAGCCTATGTCATTCACAAGAAGTTAAATAAATGGAATATTGAGACTCTGTTATTTGTTTTTGATATGTTAAATATTGGAGATTCTTCAGAGAGAACTGTTCAACTCCATCAGAAATCATTAAATTCTGTAATTACTATTGATTAGATGCAAAATAGGAAAGCAGGTTTCAGACAGTAAAAACTAACTTATCAACTCAAGATGAAATATAAATTTAGTACTCACATTTAAGTTATTTGAATTTGAAAATCACTATTTACAAAGACCAAGGAGTCAATTCAGAGCACAAATTTAATACACAACCAAGGGGTTGCTAGGAAAGTGTGGTTTAGAAGTTGGAACAAAAAGTTTGAAATAATCATAACTGTGATATAAGAAATAAAAACAACAGGAAAAATAATACAACATCTCAGAAAACTATCCAACAACTGAAAAAATTCAAGAGATATATTAAGAAACAAAATTTAATCTCAAGGGCTTAATAAGTGATGTTTGGGCAAATGATTATATTTCAGTCCAACTCCATCTACCTGTTTAGTAATTCAGAAGCTTGACAGAAATATTATTAGTTTATTAGGTTGTAGATATATTTTAACTTCAATATGGGAAGTTGAAACAAATCAAAGAGAAACCAACACTTTTGTTTCAAGGACAATTCAAGTGGTAATACTTTTGATTCGTGCTAAATTATATTTTTTGTTGCCCAAAGAATTTGAATCATATTAAAGAAAGCAGTTGCAATTCAGTTATTTATTACTTTTGGATTTGTAGATTAAGTAGTGCAGTGATAAATGGTAATAAATTTTGATTAACCTAGAGTGACATTCATCCGCTTTATATATTAGTAACAAGTTGAATGAATGAAATACTTGCAACTCAAAATTTCTCTTAGTCAGCTAATTTTCATTGGCTGTAAGTTCTCCCTGAAGTCACATAATCCGTTTTTGGTATATCTATTCTTTTTTTCTATGACTGAAATAGCAATAATGTTCTGTGTTTATTGAAATTTTGGTTGACTTTTTAATATTTTAGTGTCTGCCGTTAGAAAAATGAGAAGAGTTTTTTTTTTGGCAGTTTGTAAAGCAATTATCTTCAGGCTATTGATGGTGAATTGGTTGGTTTGATTGATGATTGTAGTATTCGAAATTATCTGATATTTTTAAAAGTATCAGAAAAGCAATTCTGAAAATTTATCTTTTGTTTCAAGTAAAATAAATAATCAATTGTGAGTTTGTAGCATTATTAAAGTTACAACATTCAAATCTTAGATTTTTTATTTCAATAGGAACTAAAGAGACAACTAGCGGCAGAATTTTTTAATGAATGAATGAAATCAATTTTGAAAGAGATGAAATGTTTTCTAGTTACCAAACGTCTTGGTTTGAAATACAAATGCAGAGGAGCATCATGTTTTTTAGAAGTCAAATACCAATTGTTTAGTTTTACAAAATGAATAGCTCCGTATTTAGTACGTTGCATTCTTCTTTTAGGACTTCTCTGTTCTCAATTCAGGATTTCCTTTTTTGGTTTCCATCTTTTTTATTATTGGTGTCGAATAGGTCTACTACAGAGTTGAAACTAAAACGTGTTTTTAAAACTGGTTGATAATGCTGAGCATTGCTCAAAGAGTTCGAATTCAGCGAAGACAAAAACAGCTTTAAGTTTCTAGGGTCGGAATCACCAAAAAAACCAACATATCCAAGCCAGTTTTGTGTTGAAGAGGTTCAATCTGCTTCTTGTTAATTCAAACATTTTCCACCTATTTGTCATGTTCTTTTCGTGCTCAAGCCAAAATAATTGCATCATCACAATAGAAAACAAAAATATTTCTATCTGAAATTCGATAATTGATAATTGATAAAGGCTGAATAGATAATAACAACTGATGGGAGATTTGTGAAAAAAACGTTTGAGAAAACGAGAAAAATGTGCAATACTGATATTGATTCCGAGTGTTTCCAGATGCCAAACATTTGTTAGCATCGCTGATCCAAGCGAATCACCGAAAAGCACGAGAGCCGAAGACAGAAGCGAGCAAGACCGCGGGTACCCGCTGCAAAGCGCCGATGCTTGAGCGCTGACCACGTGACCGGTGCTTTTGGTCCAAGCGCGTGGGGCTCGTTGCCACACAAACACAAAAGGGAGTCGTGGATCCTGGTGGAAGAGGTGTCGAGCAGTGAGTCGTGTGCAAGAGGAAACGAGTTCCGGATGGCACGCTCCCACCCTTGGTAGGATACACTCTCAAGACATGTCTTAACCCCAAAAAGCTATTCATACACAGTTCGCAAATAGGATCAGATCGTCTTGAAGACTGCTGTGAAGATTTATATAAATGCGTTTTTTTTCTTCTTTCCTTCTTTCTCAAGCTCAATCCCATCAGACAGCTCCGATTTTCTGTGTGCAATTCCAAATTCATTGCCATCACAGTCCACCAACAACCCCCTAAGAAAGATGACAGATGCTGCTCCACCATACAACCTTTACAAGGTCGAATTCTTGGGTCAAGGCACCCAAGACCATATTGCCTTTCTTTTAGAAGTTGCTCCAAATCAGTTCAACATTTATGATGTTTCTGGTTCTCCTGCTATTGGTTTTGCATTCCATTCTGCTGATGACTTTCGTTGTGAAGATGACTTTACATACATTGAAGGTTCAAAACAATTGATTGGCTCTATTGATTACAGTGTTGATGAATTTATCGAGATTTTAAAATCAGTACCTCCACCTCCAAAACAACGTTTACAAGACATCAGAAGAGGAAAAATTCTCAATTGTAGAAACTGGTTTGCTGATGCCAAAAGGGAAATTGAAAAGTACAGTAAATAGCTCTGGCAATACTGAAATTTGGTAATTATCATATACATGATTTTTAGTCTTGGTATAGCAATGTAGTAATCAGCTCTTTCAGTGTTGCGAAGTGTAACTATACACTGCAACAGGGCAATTGCTTGTCTGTTTCACTAATGTCGATGATTTTTCATCAAGAATCCAGAAATTTGACTAGATAAGACGCCGAATTTGTAAACTATTAAGATCCTATATTGAATATTCCATCCCAATCCCAGTATCTCTTTTATTTTTGAATAAACCATCATTACTTTCAATGTTTATACATGTTTTTTTCTAATATTTGGTGATAACTTACTTCATGCTTTCATCATAATCTTCAAAATAGTAAAATAATGCAAATAAATGTAAAAACGTTTATTTTTTCACGTTTTGTTGATAAAAACACCATTCACCAATCATTTGGGAATAACCTGGTGAAAACAATTTGAATTAACCAAACCGTTGAAAGCTAGAAGGAATATCTCATTAAAAAACACATAAAGAAGAAGAAGAAGAAGAAGAAGAAGAAGAAGAAAAAAAAAAAAATTAGAAATTCTCAACATCGAGCAACTACTTGCTGAAGCTAAAGAACAGCTCCATTTCCTTTGAGTAACACTTGCATTTCGGTCTGTGCTCAACAAAGTGATCCAGAGGGACCTCCTGGAAAAGTTTTCAAAAGTGTTTACCTCCAAATTTAACGACAACTCAGCATCTTGTTGGGCTTTAGCCCAGTCATTTAACTATTGTTGTTGTTCAAAACAAATTGTAAAAAGAAAACAAAGAATATTCATAAAGTGATTTCTCGGGTGCTGCTAGAATGAATGATTGCAAACAAGCCTCAATTGTGGAGCATTTTGTTTTTGTTTCCTGAGTAGTTGAGAAATAAAAAGATCAAGTTCAATTAATTCCCTTTCTTTACCCACATCAATAAAAAAACCAAGTCAGTGTATATATAGTTTAATGAATGTATATTATGAATGAAGTTTCCTTGAGTCTGGCGATGCTTTGCAAAACAACGAATATGTCTTTTGAAATCCGCTTCTCTGATTGGCCAGAATTGGCTCTCGACTTCTTCGTCAGATTTATGACTCACATCAAACTACTTTTCAAAAAGAGCCCAAAATGAGAGACAACTACAGCTGAAAACAAATCTCCCCTGGTCAGTGTTACTTATACAGCAGATTTTCATCTTCAGTTTCGTCAATAAAAACCATCTAGCCAAAAATCTCAGCCCAAACTCTCATTTTTGGATAACCCTTTCATCAAAATGTCTTCTAGTTCCACTTCTTCACTTGATTTTTGGATCAGAGAGCTTGAGAATCCCACACTCTCGATTTTGCCTACTGACTATCTTATTAGACAAGATAAGCAGCCAAAAGAAGCTTCATACAGGTTTTCTCCCCTAAGTTTTTCAGAGTTGACCGATATTTTATCAAAAATAAGCACCTTCAATGATTCATCTTCATCTAATCAAATCCTAGATTCGTTTTTACTTGGTTTAGCAGTCTTTTCTGTTTTAATTTACAGACTAACTGGTGATGATGATATTATAATTTTAACAAATAACCCAACCAACCCTGCTTCTGGAAACTTTATTTTAAGAATTAACATCTCCTCTCCTGATTTATCCTTTGCAAAGTTCTACAAACTCGTCAAATCTAAATATTATGAGATTATAAATAAGCCATTAGATTTTGAGGAATACTTGGGTCATTTGATCAAGGAAAATGATTTACCTGCACCTTCTGGATTGTTTAAACTATCGTTTCTATCTGCCCCAACTATTGAATCAGAAAAGCTATCTTCTGAAATTAACGGATCTCAAAATGATTTGGTAGTTTACTTCAACCCATCTTCAAAAACCGCTTCATTCAACATTGTTTATAATTCGCTTTTATATAAAAAAGAAAGAATCATTATTTTATCCGAACAATTTCAGGCGTTTTTCAAATCCATCTCTTACCATTTTGATTCTATTATAACTCACACAAACCTAATCACTAAATCTCAAAAGTCTTTGATTCCAAATCCAACGAATGATTTAACCTGGAATAACTTCATTGGTTGTATCCATAATATTTTCGAAAGAAATGCTTCAATTTTCCCTCACAGAAAATGTGTAATTGAGACTCAATCGGTTGCAAATCACAACTCTCATAAAAATGATCGAATTTTTACTTACCAACAAATTGACCAAGCTTCCAATGTTGCTGCTCATTATTTGATAAAAAATGGTATCAAACGAGGTGATATCATAATGATTTATTCTTCAAGATCTGTTGACTTGATGATTTCTGTTTTAGCTATCCTAAAAGCCGGTGGTACCTTCTGTGTGATTGACCCAGCCTATCCTCCTGAAAGACAAACAATCTATCTTGATGTTGCCAAACCCAAGGGATTGATTGTATTAAAAAAAGCAGGTACTTTGGACCAGTACGTTAAAAATTTTATTAATGAGAACCTTCAACTCATCTCAATGATTCCAGCTTTAGAGATTGCTGATAATGGTACACTTCTTGGTGGGGTTCCAGCCGATTCTTCTAAGGATTTATTTGTGGATTACCAACTGTATAAATCTCTTTCTACAAATGTGGTTCTAGGTCCAGATTCAAATCCAACTTTGGCATTTACCTCTGGTTCTGAAGGTATTCCTAAAGGTGTCTTGGGTCGTCATATGTCATTAGCTTACTATTTTCCATGGATGGCTAACCAGTTTAACCTATCTGAAAATGATAAATTTACAATGTTATCCGGTATTGCTCATGATCCAATTCAAAGAGATATGTTTACTCCTTTATTCCTTGGTGCTCAATTATTAGTTCCCACTGAAGATGATATTGGTACTCCTGGTAGATTAGCCAAATGGATGCAAAAATATAAAGCTACTGTTACTCATTTGACACCAGCAATGGGTCAAGTTTTAACCTCACAGGCACTGACTGAGATTCCTACCTTGCATCATGCATTTTTTGTTGGTGATATTTTAACCAAGCGTGATTGTCTTCGTTTGCAGAATTTGGCTCATAATTGCAATATTGTGAACATGTATGGTACAACTGAGACCCAAAGGGCTGTCTCTTTTTTTGAAATTACTTCCAGAAGTAAAGATCCTAATTTCTTAAAAAATTTAAAGGATATCATGCCAGCTGGTAAAGGAATGTATGATGTTCAAGTTTTAGTTGTAAATAGAAATAACACATCTCAACTAGCTGCTGTTGGAGAAGTTGGAGAAATATATGTTCGTGCTTCTGGCTTGGCTGAATGCTATAAGGGTTTGCCAGAAGTCAATCGAGAAAAGTTTGTGCAAAACTGGTTTGTTGACAATAACCACTGGATTGAGTATGAGAAAGCTGCAATTAATTATGACAAAATTTCAAACCAGCCATGGTATCAATTTTATCTAGGCCCAAGGGATAGGTTGTACCGAAGTGGGGATCTTGGTAGGTACATGGTTGATGGAAATGTTGAATGCTGTGGTAGAGCAGATGATCAAATCAAAATAAGAGGGTTTAGAATTGAATTGGGTGAGATTGACACCAACTTATCACAACATAAATTGATTCGTGAAAACAAAACTATTGTTAAGAGAAACTCGGATAATGAAAATTACCTAATTTCCTATATAGTTTTGCACCATGACTCTAAAGATTTGGCCTCTTTTGAAAATCAAGAAGCTTATTCGTTGCTTGCTGCCGAAGAACCAAACAAAAAAGACGATCTTGTTATTAAAGGAGTATTAGTTTACAATGAACTAATCAAAGACATCAAATCATTTTTGAAAAAAAAGCTAGCCGTTTATGCAATTCCTACTTATATTATTCCTCTTGATAAGTTACCATTGAATCCAAATGGAAAAATCGATAAGCCAAAATTACCATTACCAGATTCAAAAAGATTATTGACCATTACCAAATATCTTTCCGTTGCCAATGTAGATAACGACGAAGAAATGACAGATTTAGAAAAAACAATTAGAGACTGTTGGGCTGAAGTATTGCCTGATAATGTTATTCAACTTGATGATTCGTTTTTTGACATTGGTGGCCACAGTATTCTTGCTACAAGAATGATATTTCAAGTGAGAAAGAAACTAAATATTGACTTACCTTTAGGTACAATATTTAAACACCCTGTTCTTAAAACATTTTCAAACCAGGTCAAACAAATGTTAAATGACTCTTCACTCAATGAAGGTGATGAATCTGACAATGAAGTTCTCAGTTATTCTGATGATGCAAATAATATAGTCAAAACTTTATTAGAAAAAGATTTTTCGAGAAAAATTGGGCCATTAAAGAAAGGAGATTCCATCAATGTTTTTGTAACTGGGGTTACAGGTTTTGTTGGTTCGTATATTTTATCAGACTTATTAAATGAAAACAGATTAGGTCATAATAAAATTACCGTATTTGCTCATGTCAGGGCTGAAACAGAAGTTAAGGGTTTAGAAAGAATTAAAAAAGCATGTAAAACATATGGTGTATGGAAAGATTCTTTCGAGAATAGTATCAAAATTGTTCTTGGTGATTTGTCACAGCCCCATTTTGGTTATAAGAGCAAAGAAAAATTTATTAATCTTGTCAGTGATTTTGATTACATTATTCATAACGGTGCATTAGTTCATTGGGGTTATTCTTACTCAAAGCTAAGGGATTCTAACGTTATCTCTACTGTTCGCCTTCTTAATATTTGCAAAATTGGAAAACCCAAAGTTTTTTCATTCGTTTCTTCAACTTCCACAATTGATACAAATCATTATTTTGATTTATCTGACAAATTAATTCAAGAAGGTAAAAATGGTATTCTTGAGTCTGATTCATTGTCTGGCTCTGCTACTGGGCTCGGAACTGGTTATGGACAGAGTAAATGGGCAGCTGAATATATAGTTAGACAGGCTGGTGAACGAGGTCTTACTGGCTCTATCATCAGACCTGGGTATATTGGTGGTGATATTGAATCAGGTTGTTCGAACACTGATGATTTTCTCTTAAGAATGTTGAAAGGTTGTTTGCAAATTGGGTACTTTCCTCAAATATCCAATAGTGTCAATTATGTACCTGTTAACCATGTTGCTAGAATTGTTGTTGCTGCAACATTTAATGCTGATAAAGGTGTTAAGGTGTGTCATGTAACTGGGCATCCAAGAATAATATTTGAAGAAATGATAGGCTCATTATCACATTATGGTTATGAAGTTCAGTCTGTTTCTTATGATAGTTGGACTAAACATTTGGAAAAATCTGTCATTGATGAAAATAAGGATAATGCATTGTATCCATTGTTACATTTTGTTTTGGACGATTTACCAACAGATACCAAGGCTCCTGAATTAGATGATTTAAACACATTAAAGTATTTGAAACATGATTCACAATTCACAGGTGTCGATGTCTCTGCTGGGAAAGGTGTTGACTTAAAACAAATGGGTATTTATATCAGTTACTTAAACACTATTGGTTTCGTAGATTCACCAGCAGAGAAAGGGAAGTTACCAGATATAAAACTATCTGGGGAAACTATTAATTTGGCAAAATCAGGAGCAGGATCTCGTGGAAGTGCTGGAAAGGAATGAGCATTTTTTTTTTTCAATCAATATGACTTCTTACAACCCATATATCTAAAAATAAATTTTCATTAAATTATATATATATATATTTGTGTTTGTATATGTTTTTGTTTTTTTCATAATTGAATACAATATTTAAAACAAAATGATCTATAAGTATTTTCTTTTTAGTTGAAATAATAAATTAGAAGAAGTGAAGAGAAATGAATTTAAGGTAAACTTTAAAACAATTAAAAAATTTGAAATTTGAGAAATGAAATAGGGTTAGTAAAACTCAAGTGTATGAAATGGATTTAAATACATTCCTTTTCATAAATGTCGTTAATTATTTGAAAAACTTTTGTAATTCGAGATAAAAGGATTTGTTTCAAGTTGGAAGTTTGATCCTGAGTTCCAAAGTTATCAGTTTTTGAATGATTATTGGCATGAGAAAGAGTTGACTCGGTTGATAGGTTTTTGTCATTCATACTTTCATCAATAATTTCGTTGTCTTTTTGAGCATTATCAGTTAGTTTTTCGTTAATGTTCTTTCTTAATATTCTTAGCATTTTATCGGGATGCCATCTAATTCTTTCTTTCTTTACTATTTCTTTAAAAATCTTTGAGTATGAGTAGTTACTGTGATTGGAATCATTTGAGTCCAAATCTTTTAAAATCAAGTCAACACCGTTTTTGAGAAATAATTTTACTGAATCATAGTTCAATAAATCAATAGCAAGGTGAGGATCATGGTATTGAGTGGATGAGAAAGAATCAATAAAAATTGGCCAAGAAACTTTTTTTATAATAATTATGTTATCCCAGTTGTTGCAATATTTTTCATAATTATAGCAAAAATCATTTCTTTTAAACAAGATATTGTCAAAAAATTTTGGATTGCAAGTGGTGGTAAAATTTTTTTGAGTGGGATCATTTGGATTCGAAGGGTGGGTAGAGTATTTTTGTTGAATGGGGTCGCTTTCTCTGAATTTTGATTGATTAAAATTAAAATGCAAGCTGAAATCGTAATAAGACCATTTATAAAAGTTTGAAGAAGAATAATCTTTCTTCAGATGGTGGTCTTTTTGAGGATTTTTGTGGGATTTAATGATTGGGTCAGATAACTTTCCTAAAAATCTATAACCGTTGATTTGGTCGCCATACTCAATAAATGGATCAGTTGTAGATATGTTTTTCTTGAACTTTTGGTTATTTTTAGTTGATTTGGAAGGATTAGGTATGTCTTTCTTGCGTCTTTTTGTAGGAGAGCGGTTTGAAATATGCTGGCTGTTAATAAATTTATAAGATATGGGAGAAGAGTTGTAATGAAAATTATTATTGGGATTGATTTTAGTGTTATCTATCAGGATTGGAGTTCTGATTGTGGCAGAAGAAGTGTTAAAAAAAGTTGGAGGTGGTTTGGATAATGGGGTTTGGATGAGTATACTGGGAGAATCATTTATAAGATCCAAGTCTGAATCAGTTTCGTTATCTGAGATAGTATCGTAATCACTATTATCTGGGTTGTTGGCACGTTGATTAAAAGACGTTTCCAGGTTTTTTGATGAGTCAAGTGGGTTTAAAATACTGTTGATTGAATTTTTAAATTTGGGTGGTTTCTTGGGAGGATTTGAGTCAGTATTAGAACATTTAGTGTTTTTTTGATGTGTATTTGGGTTCAGTGAGCTCAAATGGGAGGGAATATCATTGGTATTCGTTATTTTGGGAGTGGAAAATTTTTGCAAATGCTTTTCTATTTTAAAGGTTTTGACTTTAGGTTCATTTTCGGGTTGAGTTTTAAGTCTCTGCTTTAATATCAACAACTTTTTAGAAGATAGGAAAACGGGCGCGAAAGTCTTTGTTTTTTCTTTGTTGTGTTCATTGGCATTTGTGCCGGTGTTAGTGATGTTTTTATCGTTATTATTGAATTTTTTCAAATCTGGCTCATAATCATAGGAATAGTGGGCACTATCGTATTCGTTGATGGTAGCGTCATCATTTTCGCTTGATTCTAGCTCGGTTTCAAACTCGTCAACCAAGGTGCGATTTGAGGAATCATCATTAGCAGTTGGTGATTTTGCGGGCAAATTATTCAACTTGAGGGAAAACTCCTTCGGCATGTTGGCGACATTTGGGTCGTCGTTTGCTTCAGGTTTAACTTTAGCAAAGGAAGATAAGGGCTGAGTGTTTGAGAGATCGATGGACATTCTAAGAGGGTGCGGTGGGACCTTCAGGGTGCTGGGTGGTTATACCTGTGATGGAGAAGGCAACAAGAACAGAACCATAGGAAAGTTGAAGCTGGCAAAAAACTGTTGATTGGAGGTGATTTCAGTGTTGATGGAGGTTTATTCGTGCAAGATTTATCCACTCGACAAAACAACAACAAACCACGCACGCGGTCGGCGTGTGTGTGCAGTAGAACGCGTGGGCATGCGCTGGCAGACGCCGATGGCTTTGAGGGGCAAAAAGAGAAGACGAAAAGAAGAGGAAGGAAGAAGAGCCGGCAGAAGAGCAAGCGAGAAGAAAAGGTGGAATGGGATGAGAGATGGTGAAGAGGTCGCTTTTTTGTCGCCTGGGAGCAGCTGGGCGCTTGCTGGAGAGGGTCTTTCTTCTCGATTGGCGACCAATGCATCCGACATACGTATCAGGCAAAAGCAACGCTGCTCCCAAACCAGCTGTGTTTAGCTCCAAAACGAATAACGATTTCTGTTGCTCAAATGGTCATCGATAGGGGTAAGAAACGTCCAGTAGATCAACTTCCAGTCGACAATAGTGATACTCCATAGGATAGTGCAGAAACTTTACTTTATGGATGTGGAATTTCCCGACATTTTGTGTTTCCCTGGGCCTATCATTTCACAGCTTCTAGAACTTAATGTGATCTCACTTCAAATCGGGTCTGAAGTTAATTCAGCCATTGATTACTAACTCATCTGGAAAACACTGATTTCAAACTGCCCAATATTTCTTCTTTCTCTTATTATTAATGCCTCTCCTTGCTATTTAAGAGCCATTTTGCACAATGTTTTATTTGCCTGCTTTCCTCATGTATATACACTCTCTTTTTTGAAGCACAATGAATGGCTTTTTAGTTATTCCAGAAAGCGAGAGAGTTTCGCTCACTGTAAGAAACCTAAAGGTTTCGGTATTATCAGCGAAATCTCATAGCAACAATACCAATTCTGAAAATGTTATTTTGGATGACATTTCTCTTGATCTCAAAAGTGGTGAAGTGATGGCCATCTTAGGTGGCTCAGGCTCTGGAAAGACAACTTTGTTGAATATTCTTTCCCAAAGGTACAACCGCAATAAGAACTTTCACTGTCAAGGGATGATCAAGTACAATGATTTCATATCCATTGGCAATGTCAAATCGGCTTACTTATTGCAAACTGATCTCTTTCTACCTGGCTTGACCGTAAAAGAAACCTTGAACTATGCTGCTGAGTTAAAACTATTTTCCGTTCCTTCAAAGACTGAAAAATTCAAATTTGTCGATTTTTTGTTAGATGAATTGAACTTGAATTCAATAAAGGACACAAAATTCTCTACTTTCAATCTTTTGTCTGGTGGAGAGCAAAGAAGAATCTCCCTCGCTATCCAACTACTAAATGATCCTTCTATTTTGTTTCTTGATGAACCAACCACTGGCTTGGATTCCTTCACCTCCTTCAACCTAATTCAAACCATCAAAAATCTTTCTCAAAAGTTTGGTATTACCATCATCTTATCAATTCATCAACCAAGAACTGAAATTTTATCTTTGTTTGACAAGATTTGTTTGCTAGCCAAAGGTGGTAAACTATGCTATTTTGGTGATCCCAATCAATCTTTGAACTATTTCAATTTCAATTGCAACTTGGCTGAATTGAAAAATATAAAAAATTTCAATTTGGCTGATTCAATTATCGATTTAGTAGCAAAGGATACCACTTCAAAACAAAATGAATCAAATTCTCTTGAAAGAATCGACTACTTATCCGAATGCTGGAAATCGTATCAAACCAATCAACTAATAGAATTAGACAACGACGAAATCTTCAATACCTTTCAAGCCGCAGATAAAATATCCCAAAAACCTCAATCCATTTCTCTTTTAAAGGAGGTTGAAATTCTAACTAGAAGAACGTTTTTGTTGAGTACAAGGGACAGCTACTCTTTATTTTCTTTAATATTTGGTATTCTTTTAATCTCAATTGTGGTAGGCTGGCTTTTCTATGATCCTTATCTCGACTTATCTGGTATCAGAACCAACATTGGTGCTCTTTACTCCATATGTGAAACTGTCGCCTTGATCCCCATGTTGTTTGAAATGGCAAGGCTTTGGGATTGTGATGGTAAATTTTTTTTTCGTGAAAACGCTGACAAATCTTCAACTGTATCTGGCTTTCTAATATCTCGAAGACTCGCTAAATTTTTCATTGAAGATCTCCCTATAGCGATTATATTTTCCGTAACCACCTATTTTATGTGGGGCTTTGACACTAATAATAAAATGTTTTTGGTTTACTTTTCAATAACCTTATTATCCCAGCTAATCGGCATGTCTTCTGCCATGTTTTGTTTTGCAGCTGCTGACTCTTTTCAAATAACTGCCATCATTTGGTCTATTTTTTATTTTGTTCAAAATTTTGCCTGTGGTTATTATGTCAACCCTAGAACAATGCCTGTATATGTTAGATGGGTAAGGTACATATGTACTTATTGGTATGTTTTTGGTGCCAATGTTTCCAACAGATTTACCGGCTTTTTTGGCGAATGTCCCCAAAATGACATCAACTCAACATTATGCAATGAGTATATCGGAAAATTCATTCTAAATGATATCGGTTTTCCTGAAAATTGGATATCCTTACCACTTTCGATATTAGTTGCCTGGTTTTTGGGTTTTTACTTTGTGGCTGCAATATTATTAAAGTACAAAAATAAAAATGTATCCTTTTCTAAATCAAAAAAAAATAACGACAATAAGGATCAAGTACAAATCCACAATAACAACGTTCAAACAGGAACTGCGGATTCCATCTTGGAAAGTAACTTATCGAATCTTGATATAAATATTCATATTAAGAATATATCTTTATTTGTGACCAAAAAATCCAAATTTAAATTCATCAGAAAGTTCTTGGGTCAAAATACTGATCCTGAAGAAAAAACCTTGATTGAAAATGTGAGTGCTTTCTTTGAACAAGGTAAAATTAATGCAATCATGGGTCCTTCAGGATCTGGGAAATCAACATTATTAAATTTAATTTCAAACCGGATAGAGAACGTTAGAAGCACTGGTTCTATATATTTAAATGAAGACCAAATTCCATTATCATATTTCCATAACTACATTTCATATACCACTCAAAATGATGCGTCTCTAATACCAACTTTAACGGTTTGGGAAACTTTGTGTTTTCAAGCTAGATTGAGATTACCAGTAAAGGAACATAGTAATATATTCCCTATTGTTAGCGAGCTTATAAATAAAATGGGATTGAATGATTGTAAAAACATTTTGGTGGGAGATGAAAATATTAAGGGAATTTCAGGTGGTGAAAAAAGAAGGACTTCAATTGCAATTCAATTATTAGATAATTCTAGAATCCTTGTTTTGGATGAACCAACTTCAGGGTTGGATTCCTTCACATCTAGTACTATTTTGAAATTATTGGCAGATATTGCACAGGGGGAGAAGAAGATTGTTATTATTACAATCCATCAACCAAAATATGAGTTGTTTAGTTTATTTGGAAATGTTTTGCTTTTGTGCAAAGGCGGAAAGGTTGCATTTAATGGAGCTCAAAGTAAATTGTCAGGATATTTTGAGAAATTGGGATATATGTGTTCTGAAAATACCAACTTTGCAGATTACATTCTTGATTTAGTTTCGGAATCATCGAAGGATGTTGATAGTAAGATTCGGGTGGAGAATTTATTGATAAATTGGAAGAATAATTATGGCAAGACGGAAGAATTTAAAGAAAAAACGTTTGAAAATCCAATGGTTGATGAAAGTGAATTTGAGACAGAAAAGTATAAGATATTGAAAAAGAAAAAAGCAGCTTTTGGAGTAGCATTGGTGACATTGATTGAAAGGCAAGCAAAGACTATTTTTCGAAGCAAAGATATCATATTAAATCGGTTAGGGCAAGTGTTAACAATGGGTGTTTTTGGAACGATTTTTTATGCTCCATTGAGCAATTCATCTGATGGGATTTACAATAGACTTGGATTGATACAAAATGCGATAAATTTGTATTATTATGGGTTTTTGAACAATATAGCAGTGTATCCTATTGAAAGAGATTACTATTATGTTGAAAGTAAAGATAATTTATATCGAATGGAATGTTTTTTGGTTGCATATTTGATTAATGAAATTCCATTTGAGATCATCACATCATTATTATTTTCAGCTTTATATGTTTTTGGTGTGGGATTGCCTAGAAATGCAGAGATGTTTTTGGTTATGTTTTATGGAGGGTTTGTGACATTAAATGCCGGAGAATCTATTGGGATAATGTTTAATACGATTTTTTCTAATTTTGGGATAGCAATGAATGGGCTATCAACGTTATTCACGATAGCGATATTTATGGGAGGAACGATGTCGATGCAGATGCCTATGTTTTTTCAGGTGTGGAATTATCTTAATCCCTTAAAGTATGTTGTAAAGGCAGTTAGTAATATGGCGTTCCGGAACCAAGAGTTTGAGTGTGTTGGAGGAATTGATGAATGTTCATTAAATAGCGGAGAGGCAGTACTTGAGTATTACAGGATGAAAAGTCCAGTTGCTATAAACTTGATAGCATTATTAATAATTTTGATTTCATACCGGACATTAGCCTATTTGTTTTTGCATATTAAAATGAAAACATGGTAGTGTAGTTGTGAAAGATGAGAGATATTTTATATTTTTTGGGGATTTTTATTTTATTCTGGTTTGATAAATAGGGAGTTAATTATTTTTTTTTGGATGTTTTGGATACATATCTATATATACATATTTATTTATTTATTTATTTATTTATTTATTTATTTATTTATTTATTTATTTATTTATTTATTTATATAGTTGAAATGATAATAAGACAGATATAGTTTTAGGTAAGCATTCTTGCAGGATAGAGCGTGTATATGCGGTAAATCAAGCGCGTGATTAGATAATATTTTATTGTTGTAAGATGATTTGGTTGGGGACATCTGATTGGCCGGCGAGGAAGAGCGAATAACAGATGGGAGGATAGTGGAATGTGATTGTATCGGTTATAAAAACAAGAAAATAGAAAATGTTGAGGGATCTAATTTTAGATTTTAGCAATTTTATGATTTCCAGGATTTTCAGGGTATTTGGATTGATTGCACACATTCTTTAACGAGTTTTAAGGAAGGTGATTATTGCTAGAGCGGATAATACATGTTGTTTATAATTGAATGAAGTGAAATTTGGTGAATATGCTGATCAGCCAAAATGAATTATTATTTAGCATTATTTATTATTACTTGTCATTAAGTAATATCAGTTGTCATCTTTGTTGGTATAATTTTCAATGGACCTCAATTGTATTGATAAGCTTGCAAATTAAGGAGGACATAAAGTTTAATAGTGGATTAACTATGAGAGCAAGTATTGGGAAAGGAAAAAGTTTCAGGAAGATATGAAAATAGAAACGAACTCTTCCAAAAAGCAAATCCCATTGAAATAATCAACCTGAACACTGCACAAAGAGCAAACAACAGATGAAAAAAGCTTAAATAATTGGGAACATAAGCATCTTGGCAATAGATTATGGAAAAAATGTGGAAGGAAAAAATAGATAGAAAACTCCCATAAAAATGAAGCGTTGGAAATGTTAATGCAAACTGCAAATTCGAAATTGGAAATACAGGCAGCAAAATGGAGGAAATGGCAGGGTGGCAGCAGGTTCCTGAAAAGATAGGACAGTCAAAAAGGGCAGGCAAGCTGTGGTAGGTCCCAGAAAGACAATAGAAGAGCCGAGAAAGCAGCAGACCCCAAACTGCGATCAGCACAAGAAGCTGGAGCAGATGCGCCGTCGCAGTGGTAATCACCGAGCGCGTGCTGTCGCGGGAGCACGTTGTTGGGTGCGAGATCCAGGGGAGTGGACTGGGATGTGCAAACTGCGGAAGCGAGACGCAAGCGGAATGCCGCTAGATTGGGCAAGCGCGACGGCCGGATTGGGGAGGCCGCGGCACAGGCGCGCAGGGTTTCAGCGGGCCTCGCTGTTATGGGCGAGCAGGATTTGCCCGAAGCGGGATGACAGATCAGGGTCAGGTGCATGGACATTTTTCAGCGGGCGTTGGCGTCGTTTTTCAGCGCTGATTTATCCTTTAGCATTTTTGTTTTCGTTTTCAAAGCATTTGCGTTGTGTTGCTTGAGAACTTGTCACTTGGTGGAAAATCCCACCATATACTGCTAACAGATTTGTCGCTACTTATAAATTGATGGCAAGTTATTCTCTTTGCAACTCTCATTCTGGTCCTCTTTTGTTGCTAACTGCTCGTTCTGCTTTCCACCCTGCTCTCTTTCACTGTGCTCAATCCTTCAACACTCTTTGATAATCAATTTCTAGTCATACTCACAATTATTTTTTCTCTGCTATTTATTCATTCACTATCACTTGTTCGTCTCTCTCTTTCATTCTTTCTTTCTATCTGATTTTTCCTTTTGTCTCTTGTTAAACTGTTTACTGTTAGGTTTTTTTTTTCCCTTTTTTCGTGCTTGGTTGTTAATTATTATTCGCTGCTTTTTTTTCCTACTTCTCTCTTCTGATCTCGATCTACTTGTTATGTCTTTAGTTACCTTTATTCTATTGTTGATCTTGCTATCAATAGTAGCTTCCTCTTTTTGCTTTTATAAACAGTACAATCAAAACAAAAATTTCAAGAAAAACAAAAAAAAACTAATCGACCAGATTGAGAAAAACTATCTCCTTAAAATCAACTCTCTAAACAACAAAATTAAAAACTTTCAGTTTGAAATCGACCAAAAGTATCAACTAATCGACTCCAAAAATATCCAGATCAACCTAATCAACAAAGAATTCCACAATCTACAGAAAAACCATCTCAAACAAATCAATTCCCTAAAATTCCAAATCCAATCAATAGAAAATGATCTCAACTTATCAAAACAGAATTTCAACAAACTAGAGAAAAACAACTCCCATCTAAACTCTAAGATCGACCAGTTAAACAACACTCTCATGAAATCAAAAGAAAGAATAAACTTCCTAGAAATAGAACTAGAGAAAAAAATCAACAAAGAATTGAAAATCATGGACGAAATGGACTTTTACAAAAAAAAATACAATAAATACTACATTGACTTGGAAAATCTAAAACAATCAAAATCAATCAAATACGTCTTTTGCAACTCAAATTCCTTTCTCAATCAAGAATACTCCTCCAGTTCAAGCGCTGTACTAAACTCAATCAATCCTCCCATCAACAATAGCAGCTCTCACCATACAAACCAAATCTCCTTCCCAATCGAAGATTCAATCATAACCTCCGAATCAATCAAAAAAATGAGTCTTTCCCAACGAACCTCTTTAATCCCTTCTCCAAATCTATCCTCAACTACTAAATCAAACCCAACTTTTTACTCAAACCTACCAAACTTTCAGAATCTTCCAATTAACAACGACAATAGCATCAACATCAACCATCTCAACAACAGTAACAATAGCAGCAATAGCAACAACAACACAAATCCAAGCACAATAAACACCATCTATAACGTCAACAATAACACCATAAACAATAACACAAACAACATCAATTCCGCAAATCAATTGAATCAACTAAACCAATTCAACCTTCTAAACAACTCAAGTCAAAACAACATGCTCTACATGAATAACAACAACATATCTGCCTTCAATGAAAACTCTCCCAACTTTTACAACAGAATGAAAATCACTGATGATGAAAAACTCGACGAATTCAAATACAAATGGCTATCCGAATTGGAAGATTTAAGAGTCTCCATTAAACAAATGAATGAAAGTTTGCTAGAAAACCAGATTTTTTCCGACGAATTGGCTCAATCAATGAATGACAACATTAAAAATATTAAAAATATCAACAACATTAACACTCTTAACAACATTAACAATTTAACTAATATTCCCAACAACAACAATAACAATAACAATAACAATAACAATTTGGATATAATAAATCAAAGAAGAATTCTGTTGTCTCCTGCAAGAAGACACAGATTGCTATCAACTAAATTTGTCACTGAAAATGAAATCAAAAATCTTAAAAGCAAATTCAGTACCGAATTTAATGAAACTATTAAACCACTATTTGAAATTAGCCATTATTCTCCATTTTATTTCAACGGAATCAACAATCCAGCAAATAACATATCAAACGATACCCCCAATAACAATAATAATAGTAACAACAATAACAATAATACTAACGCGAACACTAACACTACCGTTAACGCTAATAATACTAATAATGTTAATAACACCAGTAATAACGCCAATAATAACACTAATAATGGGAATAATAATGGGAATAATAACGGGAATAATAACAATATGGTACTCAGCACTTCTCCAGCATCTAGCAATTTAACATCTCCAAATTTATCTGAAAATAGCATGACCAATTTAAACTATAAATCTGGCTCATCTAATAATACCAGCCCAAGCAATTCACCAATCACTTCCAATGTTGCATTGAATAGAAATGCCAGCATCAACGGGAACAAAAAAAAGAGATACTCCTCATTGACTCTATTTGGCAGAAATAGCATAATTCTTACTGGACCAACCTCTTCAAAACTAGAGCGTGAAAGAGAAAGAGATAAAGACAATCAGAACGATCAAGAAAAAATAAATGATAATGATATTCAAAGTCAAAATGACAATGATAATAAAAAAAAAGAATTGTCAAACGTCAAAGCAGTAGGTAAAAAAGAAGTTACATTTAGTTTGGACGATGATGATGTTAATGAAATTAAAAACAATAAAAAGCTGATGGAGGATAAATATGAGAAAATCGATAGACCTGAAAAAAGTGATAAAAAAGTCAGTTTCGATAATAATAATATGTACAATGACAGCAAATTGGTTGTTGAAAGTGTTGATAAATTACAAAGCACAGATGAGAGAAACCCATTTCCTATTAAAGCAAGAAAATTTAATAGTGGAAGCACGAAACGAGAGTTGTCGATCAACACTAAAAGAGCACAGGCACTCAACACCAGAAAACCAATTAGTTTGGTCAAAAACAAAAACAAAGGAAAGGGAAAAGAAAAAGAAAGTGCCTACCAAGATCACTTTAGCACTAATAATCAAAATCCTAGTCATATGAATCAGAATAGCATGGGCAACAGTACGGCTCACAGCCCTACCAGCCCAATCAACAGCCCGATTATTGTGAAAGAAGAAGATATACTACAAATGGAAAAGCGAATCAATTCAGCATACAATTCGATAATAAATCGATCGATAGGAAAGGACAATGAGTATGAATACGACAGCGACGAGATCATCACCAATTCGCCTATTTATGCTAGAAACTACCTACATGTGGCTAAAACCAGGGGAAACAACCACAGGGAAGCCAATGGAACAATGCATGGGAGCAATGGGCATTTGAATGGAAATGGCAACGTCAACGGGGATGAGGCAGGAGCAACAGGCGTGAGCAGTGGAAGCAGGTTCAGCTTCAAAAACAGGTTTTCTTCCTTGGGTAGAAAAGGATCGATCAAGAAAACAGGTTATCTCGGTGGAGTGAAGGGGTAAATGTGTATATGTAATTGAACAGCGGCCGGGCTCTGCTCGTGACACCGAATATATCTGCCGCTCAATCGGGCATTGCACCGCATTTGTTTCGGCCGGCGCCGGTGGCAAAACGCAGCAAGGCCTCCGTGCGTACCGGCTGTCTGCTGCAGTAGAATCTGCGGCATGGTGCGATGGTGCGCAGCAAGAAACATGACAAACAAGGGCTCCCGCATGGTGCGTCCCTCAGGGCTGGGATCGCTTTATCGCTCCTCTTGCTGGATCTGAGCTGGTATATAAATACTCGTCTCTTTGTTTCTTTTTGTTTTATCTCTGTTTCTGCTGTTATTTATTTTTTCAGCAATTGATTTCTCTTTAGTTTCAATCATCTCAAGAACACTGTATTGTTGTTTTCCTAATGTCTTTTCAGATTCCTGATGTTGTTAAAGGTGCCGTGGATGTCGATCCCTGGTTAGAACCATTTGCCAACGAATTGGCTAATAGACGATACAATTCTCTAAACTGGATTAAAACATTTGATGAAAATGAAAATGGTTTGCTAAATTTTGCTTCTTCTTACAAGCATTATGGATTGCAACCTAACCCACAAGATCTTTCAATCACCTACAAAGAATGGGCTCCCAATGCTGTGAAGGCTGCAATCATTGGCGATTTCAACAATTGGGATGAAAATTCAAATGTGATGCAAAAAGATGACTATGGAAACTTCAATATAACCCTATATCCTTCACCTAACAATCCAAATGATTACTTAATTCCTCATGACTCAGAAATTAAAATCAGATTATGGTTATCCAACGGTGAAAAACTCGATAGATTACCTGCCTGGATCACCAGAGCGACTCAACCGGCTATCGATCTTTCTAAGGTCATTGATAAATCCAAAGTCGATTCAAGCTATAAAGCAAGATTCTGGAATCCCAAGAGTCCTTATGTTTTCAAACATCCAAGACCAAAATTAGAATCAAATGATGGCTTGAAAATCTACGAATGTCACATTGGTATCTCGACTCCTGATCCTGTTGTTGGTACTTATAAACAATTTACTCAAAACATTTTACCTAAAATCAAAGATCTAGGCTACAATACCATTCAATTGATGGCAATCATGGAACATGCTTACTATGCTTCTTTTGGTTATCAAGTTACTAATTTCTTTGCTATTTCTTCAAGGTTTGGTACTCCAGAAGATTTGAAAGAATTAATTGACACTGCTCACTCTTTGGGTATTGTTGTGTTATTGGACATTGTTCACTCTCATACATCCAAAAATGTTCTCGATGGTTTAAATAACTTTGATGGAACTGACTACCAATACTTTCACTCGGGTGGTAAAGGTAACCATGATTTGTGGGATTCAAAGTTATTCAATTACGGCAAATATGAAGTTCTAAGATTCTTGCTATCAAATTTAAAATTTTATTTGGACGTTTATAAATTTGATGGTTTTAGATTCGATGGTGTGACTAGTATGCTATATTTGCATCATGGTATCGGTGCAGGTGGTGCATTCAGTGGTAATTATAATGAGTATTTGAATGAAAACGCCCAAGTTGATAAAGAAGCCATAACTTATTTAATGCTAGCCAATCAATTAGTTCACCAATGTGGTCGACTTGAAGACAGAAATTTCATAACAATTGCTGAAGATGTGTCTGGCTATCCAACTTTGTGTTTATCCGCTGATAAAGGTGGTGTTGATTTTGATTACAGACTATCAATGGCCATTCCAGATATGTGGATCAAAATCTTGAAACATTTAAGTGACAGTGACTGGAACATGGGAAACATTATCCACACCTTAACCAATAGAAGATATGGAGAAAATTGCATAGCTTATTGTGAAAGTCATGACCAAGCTTTAGTCGGCGATAAAACCATTGCATTTTGGCTAATGGATGCTGCTATGTACACTGATATGACTATTTTGAAACCTTTGTCTCCAATCATTGATCGGGGAATGTCTTTGCACAAATTGATCAGACTATTGACCCATGCTTTGGGTGGTGAAGGGTACTTGAATTTCGAAGGGAATGAATTTGGACATCCTGAATGGTTAGATTTCCCCAGAGAAGGCAACAACGACTCATACCACTATGCCAGAAGACAGTTTAATTTGATCAGTGATGATCTATTGCGCTACAAGCAGCTTTACAACTTTGACAGGGCAATGCAACACCTCGAAGCCAAATATCATTGGTTGAAGGCGCCCCAAGCATATGTTTCGTTGAAACACGAGGTGGACAAAGTGATTGTTTTTGAACGAGCCAACTTGTTGTTCATATTCAATTTCCACCCAACCATCAGCTTTACCGACTACAGAGTAGGGGTTGAAAAAGGTGGAGTGTACAAGGTGGTGTTGAACTCAGACAGAAAAGAAGAGTTTGGTGGACACGACAGAATCGACGAGGCGGCAAGCAGATACTTCACCACAGACCTCAGATGGAACAACAGATCCAACTACATCCAGGTGTACATCCCCAACAGAACAGTGTTGGTGCTTGCGTTGGAAGAGTGAGCTGCGTGAGCTGCGCGAGCTGCGCGTGAGACACGCGATGAGATGGCGTGAGCGACGTGAGTGAGACGCGTGACGTGAGTGCTGCGTGAGGGGCGCGTCGTGATCAGGAGTCTAGACCGCGGTCGCTGAAACCTAAAAATAGCCGGCGGGCGCCAGAAGTCTGGGTCATTCTTTGGATCATTGATCATAAAATTTTCCCTGGGCTGGTTTTCTGCCTTCTGTTCATCTCGCTTTTCGTCGTTTTTGTAGTCTTTATAGTCTTTATATCTCTCTATTTATATTCGTCCTTTACATCTATCAAAAATAGTCTTTCTTGTTTCATCAACACTACTCTCTCTCTTTTCTTCTCTATGATGGGTGAAGCCCCAACCATCCCAACCTCCTCAAGTAGAAACTCTTGGTGGTCTAATCCTTTCAGGAAGAGTAATGAATACACCTTCTCTATCTCTGATCCCACTCACTCCAACATCGTCACCAACAACATCCACAGCGTATTGTCTATATCTAGTGGGGATGTCAACACTCTCATCACTTCCAACACTGCTCCTTTCAGGAAGGAGTCAGGTCTTAAAAGAAACACTTCTTTGAAAAGATTGAGGTCTCTCAAAAAGAAAAAGAAAGACACTCAGGCCTCTTCTCCAGAAAAGAAAAGCAAAAACTTGAATATTAATTTCAACCTAAACCCTGACAACATCTTCACTCATTTGCCAAAACCCTCTTTTGATTCAAACCTATCTAGTTTTGTCAGTAACAACAGTTCTGTATCAACCACTGCCAATAGTGCTTCTTTAAATAATTACAACTCTTATAATTCTTATAGCTCTTATAATTCTTTCAACGTCAATAATTTGAATAATTCCAATAACGAAAATTTAATCTTCAATATTCCCTTAGATGATTCCCTAGATAAAGCTTCAGCAAGAATCTCAATTTTAATTCCAACTGACGAAAATCCAAATAACTTGGTCAAGTATGGAAAAATCCCAATCACAGTGGCAAAAGCTGGAAATTTCTTAAAGCTGAATGGCCTCAAAACAAAAGGAATATTCAGATTAGGTGGCTCATCAAAAAGAGTTAAAGCTTTACAGGAGATTTTCAACACTCCACCATATTATGGCAAGAAATTAGATTGGAAGGGTTATACAGTCCATGATGCTGCCTCAATTTTGAGAAGATTCCTAAACTCCTTGCCTGAACCAATAATACCTTTGAACTCCTACCAAAACTGGAGAACGCCTCTAAGTTCAAGAAAGAGAATTCTAATCTATTTTGAACATAGAAATGAAGCCTCTATCACTTCTGTTTCAAAACCTACCTCAATATCTTTAGGTCATAAACACCAAAATAGTTTGGATTCTCTTCCTGAAGAAGATGAACAGTTAGTTTCCAATGAAATTAATTTGAAAACACTAGCAATCACCCCTCCACTAAGCGCTTCAGATGATTCAAACCCCAGTACTGATAATAACACTACTGACAGTAGTTTCAATAAAAATCTCGACAATCTTTCCACCTCAAATGAAGAGCTAAAAAGAAAGAAAAAATTAAAGCGTCATCAAAAGTTGGTCAAGGACATTGAAGATGCTGTTAATGATTACAAACTATTAATCTCCCAGTTGCCTCTTTCCTCAAAACAGCTATTGTTTTATATCTTGGATTTATTAGCTGTGTTTGACTCGAATTCAACTGAAAATCTCATGCCTGCAAAAAACTTATCTGCCATCTTTCAGCCATCTATTTTATCTCATCCACAGCATAATATGGCGCCAAATGAATATCTTTTATCTCAGGCAGTTTTGGAGTTCTTGATTGAATACTCCTATAGATTATTACCAAATTCAAAAACTATTGATTATTCAATATGATCTCTCTTTTTTTATTATAACAGAATTTTAATATGACTTTATGACCTATTTTTCTTTTTTCTTTTTCTTTTTTTTCTTTTTCTTTTTTTCTTTTTTTTTATCGTTTTATCATTTTACTTTTTATTTTTTCCTTAACATTTCATGAATATTAAACAGTGGTTACTTCTCATTAAATTTCTTTATATTTCCTTTTTTTTCCCTTATTATGTTCCTTTTGTTTACTTTTCTATTTTCTCTATTTTCTCTATTTTCTCTATTTTTATTAATTTTTTTTTATTTTTCTTGTTTGCCCTTATTTTTTTCAACTTGATAATAAATGGATATTAGACTATTAGATTTGTTATTAAAGTTGAGATTCAAACATAATTAGAAGACTTTTATTCCTTTTTTTTTTATAAACTTTTTTATTTCTTATAATTTTCTTATATTTTTCTCATGGTTTTTTTTTTATATTTTTTTAGTACTTCTCCTTGATTACCATTGTTTTCAGCTTAGTTTTACAAATCTGCTTTTGATTTTAAATGTTTTTGATAACTTCCACTTCGTAAAAATTTAAACAGTCCTCATTTCCAAATGTTGTTTATACTTCATTACCATATATTTTTTTTTCCTTTAACTGCAAATGAAATTTGTTGGAAGTTTCAAATTTTGATTGGTTGGTTGCTTATTTGCTTATTTAGTTCGCTTTGTCATCAATAGACTGATTAATGATACAATTGAGTATTGATTTTTGAAGATGTGATATAAAAGAGTGAGCATCAGGTTTAAAACATGATTGTTTTAGCCATGATAGAATAAATAGAAAAAAAATTAAACAAGTAAAAGAATATATGTATGTATATATAATCCTAAGATAGAAAAAGGGCGAAATTTTTTTAGAGCGATAGAGTTTATCCATATAAGCAAATAAAATTTTTTTGGTGCGTAATTGAAACTGAAACGAGGATTTTTATGCGTTTTTTTGGGAAAGTGAGCGTAGTCGATTATATCATCAAATTTCAGCAGCAATCGAAGGGAAACAGCATTTTGAACCAACAAAAACATGCTTTTAGTCTAACAAGTTGCTTTTAATGGATTTTACTAATAACCCGATGAATACACGATTGAAATTTATTATTTTTTCACTAAAAAGTACAAGATTTGATTAGAATTAGCTGGTCTTTTCATTTTCTTTAATCCTTCGGTCGTTCTCTGCCCATAAATCGGGAAAGATCATTGGAAATTCATCCTCAATACTTAAACTGAGTGCAATATCGCTTTTGTTTTCATTTCTTTTAAACTCTGTGATTTCTTTTGTTAGATTGTACTGTCTCCAGATATTTCTGTCATGACAGGCACCCATAAAAGAGCTTCCTCCATTTTCAAATAATTTAATGTCTTCGTTTTGGATGTATTTACACTTCTTACTTGGGACCCACAAACGTAAATGGTCTTTATATGACCATCCATTAAATTCCACAAGATGAACAATATCGCTATATTGATGGTTCAAAATACCGGGAGTGTCATAGGGAATGTTGATTAGTTTCCCTTCAAATAACGTTCTTCGTAAGGGCAATAATTCGTTGACATGATAGAAATTTCCCATTCCTGTATTTAAAAACTGTATATTATCATCCTGGCCATCTTGGTTCTGTTCTTGATAGTCATTTTTTCTCTCTTCAGATAATTTTAATTCATTATAGTATTTTTTTGATTCATTTGGAAAAGATTTTTCAATAAGATCAGGTAAGTTGTTGGTTAAACTTCTTACAACGCCACTAAGTTCCAAGTAAACACCAGTCTTGATATCAATAAATCTTGCATCAGGCGAGTCGGGAGAAGCACCACCATCGTTGTAACGAGCTCTTTCCATATAATGAGGCGAGATATCTAGAAAATAACGGCCTTGGCCTTCAAGAGGATCAGCGATAACAATAGTATTGTTTAGAACATTAGCCAATCTGATCATATCTTCAGCAGGCAACTCAAAATGAACAACTTTATCCCAAGGAGACACCAATCCATTTCTCTGCCAGCCAATTAACGAATCTTGAGATAGCCAAGTTGTTAGGCCGAGATTGATTGTAAATTGGCTAAAAGTTCGGATTGCTTTGTGTAGGGCAATACGATGCTGATAGGAGTTTAATACTTGATTAAAAAATCTCCAATCATAGGGAGTTTCGATTATGGAATCATAATTAACAAATTGATTTGGATCAAAGTGCGGGTCGTTTTTGGGATTGTAATTTTGGTCATTTATAATTTTTAAGTCATCAGCTGTTGGAATATAGTTATCGTAATCTTTTTTAATTCTTGCAGTGAAGAAGTAATTTTTTTTTAAAATTCTTGCATTTTCTGCAAATTGTGATTTTTCAGAGTCTTCAGGAAAGGTAAAGGATAAGTTGTTAATGTTGATGTAGTTGAATTTTTCAAAGTTTGGATTATTTTTCTTATCGATTAAAGGTCTATTGAGTATTGTTGAAATTTTTAGGAATTCATCAGTTTCGTTTAGCTTTAGGTTTAGTACTTGAGATTTTGATAGATTTAATAATTTTGATTTTTTTATAATGTAGTTATCGATCATTCCATTATTTAGAATTGAGTTTTTGTTTTTAATTTTAATGACAAAGGCTAGATCACCACCCAAAAAGATTAATTTGTTTGGAAGTGGTGCCATTGAGTATAAATAAGATTTTCCTCTGATGGACAATCTGAATTGAGAATCGCCATAGATGTTTGGGAAGTTGAATTTAAAGCCTAAATCTGGATCATTGGGGGATTTTTGGATTGAGTTTTTGTCTTTATTGAGATCGTTGATACAGGCAAACCAGGACATTCTTTTGTTGACTAAATTTTTGGGAGAAGCTAAAGAGGATAATTTTTTGCAGTTTGGTTTTTCCTTTAGAAGAGGGTTTAAGAGAGACATGTCTATCCAATCTTGCCAGCTAAAGTCTAGTTCTGGAGGAAATCTTGGACCATTTTTGGTTAGATGGTATAGATAGGATTCGATGATTGAGAGATAAGCTACATAGGTGTAGTCATTCAAGTGCTGAAATTGAGATATTTTTGAGGGTGAATAAGAAGAGGATGGGGAAGAGGATTCTTTTGATAATTCGGTAATTGTGGTGTCATAATCATCATTGATATCATTATCAATTTTGAGATGATTTTCTTTATGAGAATCTTTGTAATGATGTGAGTTGTGGGAATTGTAAAAATTGTTGTGGTTTTTGTGATTTTTGTGAATATTATTATTGTTATTATTATCATTATTATCATTATTATCATTATTATCGATTTTAGAATTAAGATGAGAATCAGGAATAGAATTAAGATTTGAATTAAGATTTGACCCAAAATTTAAATTGATTTGATTTGAATCTGAATTAAGGTGATCCAAGATCAAGCCACTGGTATTATCGAAATTGCTGTTATTGGAATAAAGATAGAGGAGGGATAAAATTGAAGTTGAGAGGACTAAAATTTTGAAGTTTTTTCTGATGAATTTGAGCAAAAACAGCATGTAGAACTTGAGTAAGCTTAGAGAAGAAAGAATATTGATGTTCAGATTGTAGTGTTTCGTGCGATGGAAACGAGAGTTGACATTGGAGGGAAGCCAGTAGTGTTTGGAGGAATGGTCACTGGCAGCAATATCAATGACACCGATGTCCTCCAAAGCATCAGGATCAGATCTGTTGTAGTTTGTTCTTCGTAGCATTATTGATGAGCAACTGGAGAAGAAAAAAAAAGAAAACAAGTAGCAGTTATCAATTGGGTCTTGTGTGAATCTTGATCTGAGTAGAATAGTGTTTAGGGTTTGTGTGGAAGTGAGAAGGCTGAAACAGGCTTGGATTAAAAACAGCACCAGCAGAGACAGAAGCAGCAAAATCACCAAGCTCACCAAACTGGCTAGAAGCAGCAGAAGCAGCAGAAGCAGCAGCTCCTCCAAAAGCTCCAAAAGCAGCAGCTCATCGTCTTTCGCTCACCACCGGCGTCCTCAGGCGACTGGCTTTTCGGTACCCTCGGACAAGACCGACACCCCGGATAGCTCAGTTACAGTCCGACCCAGACCCTGTTTATACAGACCCCGTCTGACACAACCTCGCTGCAGCCCTCTGTGCGTCATCCGCAATCTCAAGTAGCTCTGCAGAGATTACCCGGACTGCTCTTTTCTGCTTCTAAGCCACGGATCCCATACTGTTTTTGAAACCGGGTAACCTCCAGCCGGATGAAATCACGGCTTCTCTCACTTGCTATGTTTATCAACTCAATTCATTTCATTTCATTTCACCACTTATTTTCAAAATTTGGCTTCCACTTCTGCATCCACTTCTACTTCTTCTGCTTCTTATTCTTGGGCAAGTAACCATTCAGTGTTTTCTTCTTTTTAATTCTTTCTTGCTGGCTTTCATGTTTTTGCGCCTTTTCAATTAATGGCTACTCCCTTATCTTCCTCAAAAACTTCTTTAGTAGCTGCTGACAACGTCAGCAATACTAATGGTACCTCCAAAAGTATCAATCAACCTCAGCAACCTGTTGTCAAAAAAAGAGTCCCCAAATCTGCAAACTTCAGAGGTTGGAAAGAAACTGTAGGCTGGCTGGAATTTGATATCCTCTCTCTAGAAGACGAATTGGACGATCTATTAAACACTCCAACTCATCTTGACAATCTCTTGCCCGATTTCGCCTATGGTGATTGGTACCACAATGTTGCTATTTTCATTTTAGCTGGCTTGACATGTTTTATCTTGGGCAAATTCAAATTTTCCCTCGCTCCTGTCTTCCCATTCATGGTCATCTTCTCTTTATACTACAGAACCCAAATTAGAAAGTACAGATCAAACCTTCGAGAACAAGCTCAAAGAGCGTTCTCCATCAAAAGAATCGAAAACGACTATGAAACAATGGACTGGCTAAACACTTTTCTAGACAAATTCTGGCTATACCTAGAACCCTCAATTTGCCAAATCGTTTGTGACCAGGCAAATCCAATTCTAGCTTCTTTGCCTCAAATTCCTCCATTCGTTACAGGTATCTGGATAGACACTCTAACTTTAGGAACCAAACCCTTTAGAATAGAACACGTCAAAACCTTTCCACGAACCTCTGACGATGTCGTTGTCATGGACTGGTCTGTCTCAATGACCCCCAACGAAATCTCTGACATGAACAACAAACAATTGAAGAACCATGTTAATCAAAAATTCGTCATCAAAATCAAACTATTCAATTTCATAACCTTTCCCATAGTCGTTGAAGATGTTGCCTTTCACGTAACTGTAAGAGTTCGTATCAGAATGATGTCCAGTTATCCCAACATTGACACTGTCAACGTTTCCTTGCCTGAATTTCCAAAATTCGATTTTGTCTCAAAGGTCTTTGGCCAAGGTATCTTCAACTGGGAAGTTCTATCAGTTCCTGGCTTATTACCTCTAATCAACGACATGATCCTCAAATTTGCTGGCCCAATTCTTTTCAACCCCTTTTCTTTCCAATTAAACATCGAAGAATTACTAAAAGGTAATCTTACTGGTGCCATCGGCGTCCTAACCATCCTACTTAAAGACGCCAAAGATATCAAACTATTTGATCAAACCTCTGGCAACACAATCGATCCTTACCTTACCTTTAACTTCAATGGCCCAACCTTGGCTAAATCAAAAACCATTGAAGACACTTGTGATCCGGTTTGGAACGAATCAATCTACATCCTAGTTAACTCTCTAGCCCAACCTCTACAAATGATCTGCTATGATTTTAACGATGACAGAAAAGATGTTCAAATGGGAACAATCAACTTCGATATCCAATCTCTAAAGACTTCTCCAACTCAACCAAATCTAGCTGTCCCTCTATTAAGAAACAACAAACCTGTTGGCACTTTGTTCTTTGATCTAAATTACTCTCCTGTCTTGGAAGGTAAAAGATTAATTGATGGATCAACTGAACCTCCTCCAGAACTAAATACCGGTATTGCTAGAATTGAAATCAATGAAATCAAAATCGAAAACCCTGAAAACCCAAACACTTTTGTTGAATTGTACATCAACAAAGAACTAATCCTAACCACTTCAACTGTCAAAAGTAATAATAACCCCATTTGGAATGTTTCCTCCGAAAAGTTGATTTTAGATAAAAGAAAAACAAGAGTCTTGCTCATTGTCAAAAACGATAAAAACGAAAAACTAGATTATCTAGTCACTAGCTTGAATGACATTGTTGATCGTTCCGAAATCGATAAGAAATGGATCCCCTTAAAAGATGGTAATGGTGAAATCAAAGTCACTTCCCAATGGAAACCCGTCAGATTAGCTGACGTTCCTGGTGCCTCTGGCTATAGTGATCCAATTGGTGTTGTAAGAGTCGCTATCGATAAAGCTGTTGGTTTACGTAACTTGGAAAATGTTGGTACAATTGATCCCTATGCAAGAATATTAATCAATGGTTTCCAAAGAGGAAGAACTTTGGCTGTTGATTCAAGTATTGACCCAATTTGGAATGAAGTTTTATATGCCACTGTTACTGGTCCAAATCAAAAATTAACCATTGAAGGAATGGATGTTGAAAAAATTAGTGCTGACCGTACTTTAGGTTCATTTGATATCAAACTAAATGAAATCATTCACAAAGGCGACGACAATAACTACATTGAACATGTTGACAAAGAATACAGATCAAATAAATTAGTATCTAAAAAAGGCCCCAAAGGTACTATTACTTATCATTTGAGTTTTTTTCCTGCAATTCCTGTTATGGACTTGGATGAAATAGCTGAAGAAGATGAAGCCACTGCTTTGAAACTCCAAAAAGAAAAAGAAAAAGAAAAAGAAAATCCAACTAATAAGTCTGATAAAGACGCTAAGATAAATAAAGAAATTGATTTAGCTGAATTAGATAAAAGTCACAAGTTAAGATTGAATTTAAATGAGCTAATGAACTATAACTCTGGTGTATTTGTTTATCAAATTCTTCAAGGTGCTTTTAATAACTCAAATCTTTATATTCAAGCATTTTTTGATGCTGACAGTTATCCTCAATACGTCTCAGATAAATTAAGACAATCCAAATGTATCATCAATGATACAGGTGACGTAGTTGTAAAAGAATTAGAATATTCAAGAGCTACATTTCGTTTGGTTAAAGATAAAGACCAAAGTAGAGCAGAAGATTGTATTGCTGAAGCATCATTGCCAACAAGAGTTTTATTGCAGAATAGTTATGCTGGAACATCTAAAGTTTCCTTTAATGATGGATCTGTTATTAGATTACAAACTAAATTTATTCCAATAACTTTTGAAAATTTACCACTTCAAGATACTATATTAAATTCTGGTCAACTAACAGTAACAGTGCTAAATGGTAGAAACTTAATTTCAGCTGATAGAAATGGTAAATCTGATCCATTTGTTGAAGTTAGATTAAATGGTAAAAAATATCTAAAAACCAAGACTATTAAGAAAACATTAAATCCAGACTGGATTACCAAAGAAGAATGTGTTATCCCATTAACAAATCGTACTCATAGTCATTTAGAAGTTCGTTGTTTTGATTGGGACTTTGGTGAAGGACAAGATGATAAGTTGGGAATTGGATTTGTTGATTTAACTAAAGTACCACTTGATGCACCATCGGAAGTTCAAGTACCATTAAATTTGGACGGTAAAGATGGGGGATACATTACATTAAAATTAGCCTTCCAACCCCTTTATATTTACAGTGTGAGGAAGAAAGAAGGAACATTTGCAGATGGAGCAACCAAAGTATTTGGAGCTGGTAAAACCTTTGTTGGTGCAGGTGGTAAAGTCATTGGAGGAGCCGCGGGAGTTGTTGGCAAAGGAGGATCTTTTGTTAAACATAAAATCTTTGGAAGAAAGAAGGATTCAAATGATGATTAAATCAATGAACAATTAGACTATCATTTTATTTTATTGGTTGTTTTTCGTACGATATTTTTTATGTTTCTCAATTTATTTTCTTAAACTCAATTATTTTTGTTTTGTTTATTTTTTGAGTGCTTTTTTTAATCATTATTTTTTTTCAATTTTTCTTCAAAATTTTTTGTGTAACTACATTTCATTTAATTTTTTGTTTAATTGTTTATTTTTTTTTAATTTAATACAATTTTTATTGTAATCGAAAAATACAAATCCAAATAGTCAAGAATAAGTGTTGAAGGTATTATTAAATAAATTCTGAAATGAGAATCTTACCTGATGAATATTAGTGAAGAGAGATTGTTGATTATTATCGTAATCAAGCTGAGACTTTGAAAAGAGTTTTGAGATAGAATAGTTTTGAAGATAATTGTATAAAGATGATAAAAAAGAGTATAATTGGGCATTTTCTGATTTAACAGAATCCAAAATTTTATTCAAGTTTTTAAGAGATTTATCTTTTTCAAGAGCATTAAATTTTGTTAATTGAACAAAGTTTTCTTTATTGGTATTTATATCAGTAATGTTATTAGTGTGGTTAATATTTTTATTAGTGAATTTGTTTAAAATTAATTGATTGAAATTATTGGCATCATTTGAAGTTTTTTTGTTTTTATTTAGAATCAAATTAAAATTTTGAATCAAATTCTGATTTAAATTTTTCAAGTTATTTAAATTTGAATTCAAATTGTCGATTTGAGTTTTGCTCTGAGATAGCTTTGAGTTCAAATTTATTATGTCATTGGAAAGTTTGCGGTTTTGTTTTAGAATCAGATTGTGATCATAATCGTAATCAAACAGACTATTGTTATTTAATTCAATTGAATACGGGGCATAATTTGCAGCTGAATTGAAGCCTGATTTTGATATTTTGTGCTTGTTTATGAAGCTGTTCGAGCTGCTTTTAAGAGTAGAAATTTTCTTTTTGTAATAATCAATCTGTGAGATGAGGTCGTGGATTACGTTCATTACGTTCTTATCGTTATTTAAGAGCTGCAATTGGAGCTCAGCACTGCGATCAAACAGGAAGTCTGTAGAGACAAACAAAAGTCTGCTGTTGAACGAAGACAAATCCAAAAAGCCTTTCGTGACCAACGTCGCATTGATGGCTACAGCAGCCTTTCTCACACCAGCAGTATCAGCACTCTCTGGACCCAGCATCTCATCCAACTCCAAACCACGTCCAAAATGCGTTTCGCTCCACAAAACTCCAGACCCGGTCACAAAAACAACTTCTCCCCCAAAACGGACTATTATATCGTCTCTTCCCAAAGCGGAACTTCACGTGACATTCAACTCGGCTGAAACGCCTGTTTTTCTCAACTGGCGTTTCTGCAAGCTTTCTTTATCAGCTAGCACAAAGCAGGTACTAACAAGATGGTATGTGTTTGATTGCTTCGGCTCTTTGCATTTTTTATTGCATACTAACGTTCTGCTTGTATACTTCTAGAACTACATGCTTCAGCAACAACAACAGCAACAGCTGGTTGGCTCTCAGCCCAACATCGGAGGCATTAAACTTACTCCCCAACAGCTTTTCCAACAGCAGCAACAGCAACAACAGCAACAACAGTTGCTATTAAGTACCTTGAATAACAACAGCAATACTGCTAATAATAACAGCAACAGCGTCTCTGTCACCACCACCACAAACAGCAACAACAATAACAACAATAATCTCAATATCACTGGCAACAATGCGAATAATCAAAATTTAAATGCCCAGCCAGTAAACATCAATCTTAGCAGTTTGAATAGTATCAACAATTCTAACTTGTTGGGACAACAGAGGCAGCTACATATTCAGCAGTTGCAAGATCAGTTTAGACAACAACAACAGCAGCAGCATATGATACAATTACTTCAGAACCAACAACAAAATACTCAGTCTTTATCGTCTGTTTCTAACTCAATCAATACCCCTATCACTTCTATTAACACTCCTATTGTGAATTCAATTAATAGTCAAATTAATCCGATTGATCAGCTTAATCAAGTTAATCCTCAGTCGCACATCCTTAATGATTCCAATACCACACATGCTACTGGGACCACTAACCCTGAGGCTGATAATAATAACGATAACGATCTTGACGATATTGCCAATAAAAATACTTCTCTGAAAGTTTCATTTTCTATAAAGGATGTTTGGGATAACAATTTAAATGAGGAAATTACAATAATTCGAGAATTATTGTTTGGTTTTCCATACATCAGTATATCTTGCGAATTTCCTGGTGTCATTGCCAGACCCGTTGGTAAATTTAATACTCAAACTAACTACCATTATCAAACTTTGAGAGTTAATTCAGATCTATTAAGTTTAATTCAATTGTCAATAACTTTATCTAATGACCTTGGTTTAACTCCGAATAATTTTAATTCTAATCTACCAAGCACATGGCAATTTAACTTCAAGTTTGATGTTAAAAATGAAATGTTTGGAATTAATTCAATCAACGATTTACATAATTCAGGTATTGATTTCAATAAATTAAATAAATCCGGTATTGATTATTTCAAATTTGCCGAGATTTTCTTTTCATCTGGCTTAATTTTACAACATCAAGATGGTTTAAAATTAAAATGGCTAAGTTTTAATGCAGGCTATGATTTAGGTTTTCTTTTTAAATTGTTATCTAACCAAAAAATGCCCATACAGCAAATTGATTTTATTAATCTTTTGAAAAAATATTTTCCTGAATTTTATGATATTAAGTATATTGCAATGAGAAATAATATTAATGTCAATAATATCAATGTCAACCCCAACAACAGCACCAATAACACCAACACTAACAGCAATACTGCTACTAATATTAATACTAATAACAACAGCAATACAAACGGCAACAGTAATAACAATAGCAATAATGCTAATAATAACTCTAATACCAATAACAATGCCAATACAGCTGGAAATAATAATATCAATAGCAATGGCAATGGCAATGGCAATGGCAATGGCAATGGTAATGGCAATGGTAACGAAATTAGCAACAATAAAAATACTGATTTCAATTATGCAAATTTTAAGCTTCATCATTTGGCAGATTATTTGGGTATTAATTCAGAAGTGATATTTAGTAATCTTTCTGAGAATTCTCCAAACTTGTTGAATACTAAAGAATTATACCAGTCTGGGTTCCAATCAATTTTGACCTCGATTTGTTTTTTTGAGTTTAAAAATCTCTTGTCAATTCATAATAACAAAGGAGCTGCAAATGATTCCAAGAACACAAAAACCGAAGATGATGAGCCTGAGAGTTTGAAGTCACTTCAAAATATTATTTGGGCAATTGATAAGGGCTATGATGACGTGAATCTTAACGAGTTGTTTGGCATTAATAAGAACAAAATCGGCTTAAATTTGACTAACAATAATAGCAAAAACAACAACAATAATAACAACAATAGCAATAATAGTAATAATATCAATAAAAACAATGAAAATGGTAATGATGAGAACGTTTCAAATATTAATTTGTTAGCAGGGCTCGAGATTAGTAATGCTATAAATGGAATTTCTCAAACTCCAATTATGAGTATGAATGGGTTGAATACATTATCACCTTGCAATTTAACTAGTACACTTAATGGAACTACATATTATGGCTATTGAAATTATAAGTAAAAAAAATAAACAGAAACAACAGAAAATTAGTTTTATTGCTCTTAATAGTCATAAATGGGTCACAATTTTTATAATTACAATAATTTTCAGTTTTTAGATTATTTTTTTCCTAGTTAGTTTGTTTTGTTTTTCGATTGAGCAGCAATTGTATTATTTAGTTGTGAATTTATTTATTTTAAGCTTGTTTTTTTTATTGTTTTCTAAATAAATAGTGGATAATACACAATCAGAAGCTGTAAATATATATCAGGAAAGAATAGTGGTTGATGTTATAATCTTATTGGTTCTTCGAACTTGTTATCCCAACCATCTGTATTTCCATCGAGATCATTGCTTTCATTATCACTATCACTATCACTTTCGCTTTGATTTTGATCGTCTTCTTTAATGAAATTATTTTCATTCAATTCTTTTTCATAGATGTAATCTCTACCGAAATTTCTTACTCTCAATTCCTTTTCTTGTTTTAAAGAGTTATATATCATGAAATTGATCCAAATTTCCAAGAAACAATAGAGTATGACCAAGTCATTGTAAAAGTAATAGTTTGCCGAAAAGTAGGAATAAATAATGATGAAAAATAGAACCAACAATCTGAAGGGAATTAAGTTTTCAAAATAGATATAGTATAGTTTATTTGAGGTATTGAATTCGTATCTGTCCAAGTTACTTGAATCGTTGGGGTCGATTCGGTTGTTATCTTGGTCGATGACTAGAGTTGGAGTGGTTGAATTCAAGTTCTTGAAGATTGGAACATTCAACAAGGACACAATAACTATTAAGTCATTGAGAGCAAAGACAATGAAGAGAACCGAGAACAAGCCCAAGAGGTTGTCGTTGCTATGACTGGACAAATTGTCGATAATGGGCAATTCGAGCGACTTGCCAAAGATAATCACATAGTTGTTGAGGAGAAGGGCGTTAGGATCCTTAATGATGTAGTATGCAATGGACAACAAGAAGCAAATACGGAAGTAGTTCAAGGTGATGGAGGAAAAGAGGGCCATATTGATGAGGGTGGTGTTGTTGGTGTTGTTGGTGAAGAACAACAGAGTCGTTTCACTGAGAGCTTTAAGCGCCAGCTCCGTCGCCACCACTTTTCCTCTGAGCTGGCACCAAAAACAGCATAACTACCAGAAGCACAATGGCCAAAAACGCCAGCTTGAACACACCCAGCAAGTCCAGGAAGAGCACCTCCAAGGTTCCAGACAACCCTCCAGCTTCGACAGCTCCCAAGATCAAAGTGCCCAAGGCCTTCATCATCAGACCCATTCTCAGCTTGCCTCACAACAACCTTCATAATGACACCTCTCTAGCTGCTGCAAACAATGCTGTGCAAACACCCATCAAGTCTGTCTCAAAGGTGTTCATCAATCCTCAGGTGGCAACTGTGCTCGACTTATCCAATGGTGCCCTCGTTCACCTCTCAAAGGAAAACAATTCTAACGATGGTTTGCTTGCCATTGTTCAGTCAGATCCTGAAATTGTTGAGTTTAATGTTGCCAGAATATCTCAAAACTACCTAGATCTAACAGGTTGGTTGCTTGGTGATCGATTAGTGATTGAGAAACTAAACTACCAGCCTGATTACTCTTTGAATATTTTTCTTTCGGTGAAATCTTTTTCTGATAATGATGCTAATATTACAAACGACAACGACGACAATAACCAGAATAATAACAAACTGCCAACAAAAAAAATAAACAAGTTACTCAATGACCTTGGTTTAATCATTCCAGGTTTGAAGTTCCTACATGAGAGCATCGAATACACTATATGTGATGTATCCAATTTTACTGACAATGATGGTTCTGATATATTATTACCACAATTAAAAAACCTAACAATAAACACTTACAGTGGTGCAACTAAACCCACTCAAACCGAAATAACTTCCCACAACCCCATATATCATGAAAACTTATTACAAAATCTAAAGCGCAAGAAATTAATCTCTCCTGTTTATCTTTATTCGAAATCTTTATCTCAGTTTAAAATTTCCAAAAACCCTATCGAGGATTCTTTATTGCCATACAAATTATATAATTTGCCTAAATTATTAACCTATACCAGTATAGGTGGTTTGAAAAACCAAATCAATAAAATCAAATCAACAATCGAACTACCTTTATTCAATTCAAACCTTTTTTATCAATTTAATATAAAACCTCCAAGAGGCATCCTACTATATGGTCCTCCAGGTACAGGAAAAACAATGATATTAAAAGCAATTGCAAATTCAACCAAATTAACTCATATTTTATCTATTAATGGGCCTTCTATAATCTCAAAATACTTGGGCGGAACCGAGGAAAAACTTACCCAAATATTTAATGAAGCAAGAACCTATCAACCTTCTATAATATTTGTAGACGAAATAGATTCTTTAGTACCTTCAAGAGATTCCAGTGATTCAACTGAAATCGAAAATAGAACCGTTGCCACTCTACTCACATTAATGGATGGACTAGATAATTCAAATAATAACGTCATCATCATCGCATCAACAAATAGACCAAATTCAATTGATTCAGCTTTAAGAAGACCAGGTCGGTTTGATCAAGAAATTGAAATAGGTATTCCTGATATCGATGCCAGATTTGATATCTTGAAAAAATCCATTCAAAAAATGAATGAAAAGAAACACAATTTAACCCAAGATCAAATTTTTCAAATTGCTTCAAAAACCCATGGTTATGTTGGCGCTGATTTAATAGCTTTAACCAGAGAAGCTGTAATGAAAGCAATCGAAAGAAACATATCTCTTATTAATAGTAAAAACCAAAATCAAAATAATTTTGATAATATCACAATCCAAATTAAAGACCTTCAGAATGCCATGATAGATGTGAGACCATCAGTAATGAGAGAAATCTTTCTAGAAATGCCAAAAGTTTATTGGTCTGATATCGGCGGCCAAGAATATTTAAAACAAAAACTAAAAGAAATGGTCCAATTACCTCTAGAAGCCTCTGATACTTTTAGGAAATTGGGTATAAAACCACCAAGAGGAATTTTACTTTACGGCCCTCCAGGTTGTTCAAAGACTTTAACTGCAAAAGCTTTAGCAACCGAATCTGGTTTGAATTTTTTTGCCATTAAAGGTCCCGAAATCTTTAATAAATATGTTGGTGAATCAGAAAGAACAATAAGAGAAATTTTTCGAAAAGCAAGAAGTGCATCCCCAAGTATTTTGTTTTTCGATGAAATTGATGCTTTGTCCGCAGACAGAGAAAGCGGCGAGGCAACAACTTCCACAGCTAATCATGTTCTAACTACTTTATTAAATGAAATTGATGGTATAGAAACATTAAGTGAAGTCATAATTGTTGCTGCAACAAACAGACCCGATTCAATAGACCCAGCATTGTTGAGACCTGGTAGATTGGATAGACATATCTATGTTGCACCACCGGATATCCTGGCTAGACTACAGATATTAAAAAACACTACCAAAAATTTTAATATGGATGAAGAAATGAGTACAAATTATCTTGAAGTTTTAGCATCAAAAACAGATGGTTGTTCTGGTGCAGAAATGGTTTTATTATCACAAGAAGCTGGACTTGCTGCTATTGTTGAAAATAAAGATTGTGTTAAAGTTGAAAAAAGGCATTTTGAAAAAGCATTAACGAATTTACCCAGAGGAATTACTGAAGATTTATTAAATTATTATGAACGATTTGCTAGTAATTCAAAGAAATTTTTTTAATTGTTAGTGAAACTCAGGATTAATTAATTGGGTAAATTTACTGATATATTTATAAGAGTGTAAATTATTGCTGTTTTTCATCAAAAATATCATCCGTTTCCAATTCAATTCAAGTAAAATGAATTATCATTTATTGCTTGGCCACAAAAAAAAAAATTAAAAATAAAACAAAAAATAAAAAAAAGAGGAAAAAAAAACAAACCTCCACTGAAAAAGAAACCAATCATAATAGTTCAGTATTCTCACTGTAGTTGTAAAGAAATTTTAAATGCTTGAAAAGACATTTCAAATTATAATATAATCAAATAAATGTATTATGCCATTAAGACTTTTTAGAAAATTACATTTTAATCAATCAAAATATCATGAATTAAACCTAGCAATTCTTCTTTTGTTCCTTCTGTTTCTTCATAATCTGCAGAATCGTCATCACCATTATCGTTGTCATCATCACCATTATTAACATTGCTTTTATTTGGAAATTGATTTTGCTGTTGCAATTGATTGGAAATGGGAATTTTATTTATAAATTCGGATTTAATTTCACTTTTTATCTCTGTTTTGATATTATCTTTTTTAAGAGCCGATTCAATACCAACTAAATTATCATGAAAATGTCGATCAGCATATTTAATGGGAGATTCGTTAATATATTCGTTTTGCTTAAAATAATTAACAATATCATAACACTCATTTGAAATTTTTCTTCTTTTGTTATTTATCTGATCACGAGATAATAAGGTGGCCATCTCTGATTTATCAAAATTATCTAATCTATAGTAATCATCATCCTTTAACAAATTAAAATGTAGTCTATAAATTACACCTCTTTCTTCAACAATGTGAGGAGATAATTTAAGAGCATCATAAATATCCTCAATTGTTAAAATAATTTTTCTTTTCTTTTTTTTCTTCTTTTTTTTAATAACAGAAATCTCATTGTTATTATTTTTGGCATTGTTGTTAGTAGTGGCAAAATTACTATTATTATTAATAGTACCATTAAAAATATTATCAGTGATAGTATCAGTATTGGTATTACTAAGAGTATTTAATGAAAACATATCAAAAACATTCTCATCATATTTTGATTTCCTGTATCTTACAAGATCAATGGTTTCTTCAATAATGGTTTTTAAATGACTCTCGATAGCCATTGACATTACATTAATTGAGTTTTCATCCAAAGAGCCAAACAAACCATGTTCTCTCATTATTCCTGTCATTCTATAATTTAAAGTATCTTTATCTGGTAATTCGTAAGATTCAGAAGCCAATAAAGTTTGAAATCCAGTCATAATATCCTGAGACCATGTTACGGCATTTCCTGTTATAACTTCACGAGGTTGAGATGAGCTTTTATTATTTTGGGCTTTGGAAGGTAAAGATTTTGAGTTTAAATGAGGAGTAGGAATTGGAGTTGATGTTGAGCTTTTTTCGCTTTTAATCTTTGTTATACTTTCATGATTATCATTATTATTACGACTGTTGTTATTGTTATTGTTATTGTTATTGTTATTGTTATTGTTATTGTTATTGTTATTATTGCTGTTATTGTTTTTTGTATTATTGTTATTGTTTTTTGTATTGTTGTTATTAATATTATTGTTTGCGTTTTGGATGTCTTGTAATGGTATTTTAGGAAATAAAGAACGATTAGTAATATACAATGAAGAATTTGCAGACAATAAATTTGATTTTCCTGAATCTCTTTTAATATTTTTAATTCGTCTTCTTTCCTTGACAGGCAAACTCATTATATTTGTTTTCAATACTTCGTACTGGTTATTGAATTTGTAATTATTTAAGTTTTTTTTTTTTTTATTTGAGTTATTCATATTAAACAAATTATTGTTATTGAAACCAAATCCACTTATATGAGAATTTGGAGAGGGATTAATTCTGACGGAGTTTGCCAAATTGGATAAGATAAATTGATTGTGAAAATTTATCAAAAGATTTGAATTTATAATCTTTGTTATCTCATTTTCAAATTCATTTCTGGACAATTTACCTAATATAAAACTGGAGAAGATTGACTGATACTTCAACCAATTCTTATCGCCCAACTGATTGTGAAATTTGTTGATTAAAGTTTGCAAATCAATTCTCTTTGAATCAATTAAGGGAGTGGAAATATCAGGTTTTATCAGCAAAGATTGAGAAGCAGAACCAGTAAGCACGTTTTCATTTGAGTCATCCATCGAGTTGTCTATTGAGTTATCAATCGAGTTATCGTTGTCGTTGTCCTCGTTATCATTTTCATTATCATTGTCATGGTCAAGATACCTGCGGTGGTCGTTCTCATTGTTTGCGTGGTTACTGGACGCAAAGTTCCTGCCATTGGTGTTTCTGGAGCTGTCACCTGGTAAAGCAAGAGCACTTGAGGCCTCGAGAGCTGTCGACATGGAGAGGTCTGTGGAAGAAGCTGCATCTGCTGAAGGAAAAGAGCTCCAAGGCATCACACAAACAAGTTTCTCGTGAGATATTAACGCACGTGACATTGTCTTGTGGTGATGCATCCACAACCTGCATAATGCATGATTTGTCTCGACATGCATCAAACACGCTGCTTGAAAACCAGGTCTCTGGATGTGTTGCTAGCTAGCGACCATGAACTGTTCTTACTTTGCTGCTCACTGCAATTTATTGTTTGTGAACCAACGTGAATTTCCAAATGCAAATGGTTCTTTTATACACAAAATGTCAAAGATACACATTTGGCAATACACTACACGGATTATTCAGCTTCACAGGCAAGCTTTGTATGCCCAGAGATTACTTTTGAAGATTTTTGCTTACAGCTTCTTTCATTTCAGGTGTCAATTTATTTATAAATGAGATTATCTTAGTGGAAAGTTCATCTCTTTCAGAAGCCTGGGCACTGTTATTATGGTCAAACCCAGAGTGCACAACAATACTGTTCAATGAATCCTCAATCCGGATAAAACCCAAGCTTTGGTTGTTAGCTTTGTCAATATTTTCAATATCATCATCATTTATATTTTGAGAAAGCTGACTCTTAGTTTTTTTAAGGGAATTCAACTCTTTTTTAATTTGTTTTTCTTTTAGCTTTTGAGATTTATAATTATCTATTTTTTTTTGAATTTCTTTGTTTTCTACTATCAATTTATTTCTTTTTTTCATTTCATCGGGTAGTTTTCTGTTTCTTTTATTGTTTGAACGACAAATAGTGCAAGTTTTATAGTGTCTTTTTAATTTTTTGTTAGATCTAGAATCATTCTGTTGCTTATTATTATTATCTTGTTCATTGTTGCTTGCCAATGCTCTGCCACATCTATTGCATGCACCATTTTTTTCTAGTTCTTCTTTTCTTTTTTTGAAATAGTTTCTACATTTGGTGCAAGATTTGTAATTTGGAGTGTCGTTGTTTTTGCAACAATTTGTGCACTTTCCTGTTTCTGCTCTTTTAGCTTTTTTCAATCTTGATTTCAATCGACAAAGTGGACATAAAGAGTATTTATAGTTGTCCGTAACAGAGAAATTTCCATTATTACTTTCATTTGGATTTTGACTTTGATTAAAATTATAATTGTAATTACTTTTATCATTGTTCCGACCATCTTTGCCTTCATTATTGTGAATACTATCATTTTTCATGTCGTTCTTATTATTGGTTTCTCTATTTGTATTATCAGCAATTTTGTCGTCATTCTGAGATTCAAAGGTCTGTCCGCTAATATTGCTATGGATATGGTTCGAATAACTAGGATGACTATTCATATAATTCACAATATCAATATAGTTGGTAATATTACTAGAGTCACCATCAGAATTGCTGTTAACATTATTAATAAAAAATGATATCGGGGCATCGCAGTCAGAGCAAATACCAATGGATTTTATTTTAGATTTATATTTTATTCTATGTTTAACTCGTTCCTTTTCACGGCATTTGGAACATAATTTATATATTTTTTTCTTTTTCGGTACCAGTTCTTTATCATTAACTACAGCTTGAGAAAATTGTTTTTTGCATTTGGAACATTTCCTCAATATTTCACTATTAATATTAATAAATTTAACACAGTTCCCTATGGTATTATTTGAAAAATCTTTACTATTATCAACATTTACACCAGTATCTTGTTCTTTCACCTGAGCACTTGTATCGCATTGAGCACTCGACTGTATTAGTGGCATCATATTCTGAGAAAGTATCTGGTCAAAGCTTGGATCGATATTGGAGTCGATGTTTGGCACAATCTCAAGACTGGAAGACCCACCAGTGTCAACATGGTTTGGACTGTGATTGCCAGTGTCTCGTTGCACTCTGCAATGTTCTTCAATTATCGCCTGAATCCCAGCCATCATCAGCTCACTAGAAGAACTAGAGATACCATCACTGATAGTTTCACACTTGCCATTGGTACCTGTTTCGACCATCTTCTCCTGCTTCTTCTGCTTCTCATGGCACAGCTCCGTTTTGTGTCGGCTCCACTTCAAAAATAGTCCCGCTACCCGGCCTTTGATGCGTCTCGGCACAATTTCGGCTAAATGGCCTTTCTACAAATAACATACAATGGTTGTTCATATTTTCATTATCTTGACGTTTTTCTTTGTGGCTTTCTTCGCTAACGATCTTCTGCTACTGGTAATCTTTGATGTAGATCCTCCTCTTGAACCACGAGAATAGCTGCTTTTGCTCTTGCCCTTGCCTTTGGTCCTATTATAGCGTGTTTGTGTCGATGTGCTTTTTTGTTCAACCATAGCATTTGAAGTATCCTGGTTAGTGCTTTTAACTTGAGAGTACGATATCACTGTGTTATCAATGGGAAAAAAAAAGGTTAGTTATTGTTCTTGTCAACATGTCCAGAACAAAAAAAAAAAACCAAAAGTATAATACATACATTTATTAAGAATTGTTTCTTCTTCTTCGGTTTTTTTTGTGTAATCGATTCTTTCTTGTCTATTGAAGTATGGTGAAGTGTCATTGCTAGTACCACTTGCTCTTCGATTTGTTTCAGCACCCATAAAGCCGGATAATGGTACTGTCTGCTGGGTTTCCAACAGATTCTTCTGATTTCTTAGTGCATTTAACAATGGTCTGAAAGAATAATAATACTCCTCAATTTGTGTCTGTTTTATTCCTTTCAATTTTTCAAACTCATTTTTATTACTAGGAAGTTTCATTGCCATATCCTTCAAAGTTTCATTGCTAAATATTGAGCTGCAGTTTTTTAACCCCATACTGTTCATTTTATCTTGTCTTAGCCTATTTAAAGATTCAAAACATTTTTCATTAAATTGTTTTCCTTTTTCATTCAAACTGGTGTTATTATTCAAAACAATTGGACTAAAAAAATTGCTATTACTTGCTTGTCTTTCTAACTGCTGTCTTGCCGTTGTTATTTTTGGTGAATTATTGTTCATAGTAGTATCTCTATATCTAAATGACGATAGATTGCTAATTTTGTTTCCAACTTCAGCAAGCTGAATATTGTCAATACTAAGTTTTGAATTTTGTCCATTTGAACCGTTTGAATCATTAGGTGTTGAAAAACTCATTAGAATTTTTTTTCGATTATTGATTAATGGTCGAGCATTTTTTTCATTTACCTTCACATAACTTGTCGCAAATCCTGCTCCATTAATAACAGAATATTCCTCTAATATTTGTTCGGAGACTAAATGAAAAAAAATACGATTCAAATCAGTTTTGTCTAAATTTTTACCTCCTCCATGCCCAGCTAGTTTGTCATGACCTGCATTGATAATTTTATTACCTTTCGATCCTCTGAATACATCCTGACAGTATATCAATGTCACTTTTTCGTTCTGAATTTTCCTAACTAACAGAACAATCTCCTTAGAAACTTCAGAAACATCTTTCTCAATAATGGTGCTGGATAATCCATTTACACAATTATCACATTGCCTATGGCAATCTTTTGCATCAAACTCCTCATTGAAATATTGCAATACCTGTCTTCTTCTACAGTCTGTAATATTAACACAATATTGAACAACTTGATTTAATTTTTCCAAATGTTTTTCTTTTCCGGCCCGGTCCAAATCCCCATCCTTTTGTATCATCCCTTGCAATACCCTTGCATCTCTAAAATTAAAATACATAATACATTGAGATTTTTTCCCATCTCTACCAGCTCTACCAGTTTCCTGATAATATCCCTCCAATGTTCTCGGTATGGTTAAGTGTATTACGTACCTAACATCAGGTTTGTCAATTCCCATTCCAAAAGCAATTGTTGCGCAAATAACATGAATTTTGTCGGCTTGCCATAATTTTTGAATATTCAATCTACTATCCGCAGCCATACCAGCATGATAAAATGCTGCATTTATCCCATGTTGTCTTAATGATTGAGATGTCTGTTCACATGAATTTTTGGAATGGCAATATATTATACCACATTGATTCTTGAATTTCGTTTTAATTATATTAGAAATATCTAAAGTTGAGTCCTTATATTTCTTAATTACATGATAAAATAAATTTGTTCTGTTGAAACTTTGAACAAATACTTTGCAGTTTGTCATTTTTAAGTTATGAAGTATATCTTGTTTCACATGAGCGTTTGCTGTAGCTGTTAATGCCATAATTGGTATTGTGGGATATTCAGTTTTGAAAAACCTTAAGGATTGATAGTCCGGTCGAAAGTCATGACCCCAAGAACTAACACAATGTGCTTCATCAACAACAATTCTTGCCAACTTTTTAGTTTCAAATAATTTTTGTATTGCATTTCTTGCTTGTCTGCTGCTGCTAATCATTTCAGGAGAAAGATAGACTAGTTCTAAACATCCATTGATAAATAAATTAAATGTGTGTCTTTTTTCATCAGCAGTAGCTTTTGAATTTATATAAGCAGCTAAAACTTTCTTATCTAATAAATGTTGAACTTGATCTTGCATTAACGAAATCAATGGAGAGATTACAATAGTAGTTCCATGTGTTTTACCTGATCTCACCACTGCAGGTAATTGATAACATAACGATTTACCACCACCAGTTGGCATTAAAACAAAAACATCTTGACCATTCAACGTAGAATTAATAGCCTCTAATTGATTTGATCTGAAAGAAGATAAATTAAATACTTGTTTTAACTTACCATAAACTTCCGATGTCCAAGGGTATATTTTTTCGGATGATTGATTTGAAAAAGAATTAGTAGGGGTCTTTTCATTTTTATTATTTGAAATTATAGAGCTGGAAGAACTAAAAGAATTATTACGATTAGATTCATGTGAGATAGAGTTTATATCTGGCTTATTGTTATCTTCAGTCAAGTTAATTAAATCAATGTCATCAATATCATCAATGCCACCATTATCAGACAATTCAGAATCCAAACTAATAATATTAATTTCTCTTTCATTTGTAAATTCATTGGCTCCAATTATCTCTATGTCATCATCTAAATCGGCAGAATTGTTGCTACCATTAATTTGAATCTGATTATCATTTTCTAGTGGGACATCTTGAGACCATATTCTACGGCTAGGATTTAAAATATCGGGGTCATTTTCAGATTCGATGTCACTTTCATCATCATTTTTTAAATTTGTGATCTCACTTTGAATGTTTTCTGTGCTTGTTGCATCGTAAAAGTTGTCGTCATTAACACTCTCTAATTCGTCATTTTCAGGAATATAATCCTCGTCATTAGAAAAAATTATATCATCCACCTCTTCGTCGTCAATAAATTCCTCAACTATTGAATTATTATCGTCTTCAATTGGTTCCAAACTTCTTTGGGAATATATTGGTTCATCTGGATCAATGATGTTTTGGGTGTGAAATAAATGATCATTAATATCATCCAAATTAGTAAAATTATAATTTTTAGAACGAGTTCTAAGGTTTCTTTTAACAGTGAGATGGTTATCATCGAAATCAATATTAGAAGTGTGATTATCAAAATTGGATACTGTTGGTGGATTGATTGACTTGGATTTATCATTATTGAACTTAATTAATTCTATATTATCGTCATCAGCATCAAATTCATCGCTTTGAAAGTCTAATATATTATCATTAATATTAGTGGTTGCTGTTGAGTTTGTTCTCAGAAAGGAAATATGAGGTTCAATATTATTCTGCGCATTGCCATTAGTGATATGATTGGTATCCGTGTTAGTATTTATATGAATGTTGGTATTGATAGTTTTATCGTTGAAAGAATGTGTGCTGGCGGTATTAGTGGTGTTGAAGTTGATATTCATAAGATTAGAATCAGTTTTGATATCTAAATTAATATCTGAAAAGAATTTCTCAATTTCCGATAGATTTTTTTTAATTTCAAGATTAATGTTAATAATATCAGTGTTTAAATTATTTGAGTCATTCGTATTGCCTTTATTATTGGTGTTTATTAGATTTTGAAAAATTATCAAGGAAGATTGATTTTTGATTAAATTAAATTGGGATTGAATTAAAGAGGATAAACTGTCACTAGGTAGATTTTTGAAAAGCTTGATATTAAAATTTGAAATTAGATTTTTGATTTGATTTAGGCGATTGTTAATATCGATATCAAATAAGTGACCTGGCCCATTTAGCTTTATTTTTTTATTATTTTTTTTATCAATGTTGGTGCTAGTTGTGCTATTTATATGTACGATATTATTATGATCCAGGTTATAATTCAGGTAAGTCCGTTTTACAAGTTCAGGTTGATTAGAATTTGAATTATTTCGAGGATAAGTTTTATTATTGATGATTTCATCAATTATGGAGTCCCCATCGCTAAAGATGTCAGTATCCATAGTTAGATCAACAATTTCTTGGAGAATATTTGTGTTCGAACTATGATTTGCGCCATTGGTATCTTTACCAGAGGAGGCCATGGAATGCTTTTCTGGGGATAACACGCCAATTCCACTCAACCTACTTGTTCTTTCAATATTAAAATTTAAGGGCAATGAATTGGCGCCATTCAAAGCAGTGTCATTGAATGACAAAGTTGACTGAATTACTTTCGGCTTTTTTTTTTGATCGTTGGTAGACGCCAAAAAAGATCTTAACGCCAGCAGATTATGCTCATCATGGCTGTGGCGAGTTGAAACCTCGGTGTTGAGAGTAAGTTCTGCTAATGGAGAAGCATTATTGTGGGATAAGTTGGTATTCTGAAGACTGACATTGGCGACACCAAAGCTATTTGAGGATGGAGCAGTGGAGTATTTGTTGTTGGCTCGAGATATGGAAACAGGCATCAGACTGTGGATGAGAGGACCGTCGCCAGAGGCAAGATGGGTGGTACTGGCCATATTGGAGGTGTTGGTGGTGACATTGGAATATAGAAACAAGAGACTGCTGGACGAGGGTATGTTTAGGGTGTTTTCGTAGATGGCTTTCTTGTGGATATCAATATTGGACCTAACAACCATAGCAAAAGAGAAAACTCGGTTGAAGTGTGAGCCGTCGAAAGAATAGGCACCGGAACCAGAAGCAGCACGAAAAACACCAAACAGCAGAAATATAACGAAACACAACGATTGCCGTTTTGGGCGAAAAGCACCGATCCACAGCGCTGGTCTTCAACACGACCCTGACGCGTGGTGCGTCCACGTGCGTGGGGTCGTGAGTTATCTCTATGGCTTTTCTTCACGCCAGAATCACCCCAGTGTCGCCTGCCTCGCTCTGCTATTTTTGTCTGTTTCCTCTGTTTTCTGGCTGTTTTTTGGCTGCTGTGTATCTTGAAACTAGCTGGCCTTTACTTTATTGTACTAATGATGTCTTCGAACTACAAGAAGCTAGAGCTAATTGGCCGTGGAAAGTTTGGGCAGGTTTACAAGGCTAAGGACCTCAGGTCAAACAAAATCGTTGCTATCAAAGTCTTGAATTTGGATACTGATGAGGACGAGGTTAAGGACATCAAAGACGAAATCAATTTTTTATCAAATTTGAAAAACGTTGAAAATGTGACTCATTACTATGGCTCAATTTTGAATGGCACCAAATTATGGATTATCATGGACTATTGTGACGGAGGTTCCCTACGAACTTTATTGAAACCCGGAAAGATTCAGGAGGCTTATACTGCTATCATTATGAGAGAGTTGTTATTTGCTTTAAAGGCCATCCATAATCAGGGTGTTATCCACAGAGATATCAAGGCTGCCAATGTTTTAATTACAAAAGATGGAAAGGTTCAATTATGTGATTTCGGGGTTGCTGCCCAACTAACTGCTTCTTCATCGAAGAGAACAACAATGGCCGGCACTCCCTTTTGGATGGCTCCCGAAGTCATTCAAGAAGGTCGTTCTTATACCTGTTCTGCTGACATTTGGTCTCTTGGTATTACCTGTTATGAAATTAGTACCGGTAATCCTCCATATTGCGATAAGGATGTCACCAAAGCAATGAGATTAATCACAGAAAAGAAACCCCCTCGATTGCAAGGCTCAAACTATTCTGCAAATTTAAAGCAATTCATTGCATTATGTCTTGACGAAAATACTGCTGAAAGACCTACTGCTGAAGATCTTTTAAAGTCAAAATTGATGAAGCAATACAAAAGCTATCAAACCAATTTTCTAAGAGGCTTAATCAAAAGATATTTGGACTGGAGAGAGACTCAAAAGGCAAAAGAAAACACAGGTAACAATAATAACAACAATAACAATAATAACAACAATAACAATAATAACAATAACAATAACCACAATCGTAAACATCTTATAAGAGATTCCATAATTTCCATAAATGACGATCTTCTTAAAAGTAGTGATGATCTTACTGATGATAACAATTTGGATGTTAAATGGGATTTCGATTCTCTCAAATCTGCTGAATATTTGATTGAAGAAGATGCCAATTCAAGTCCTACTGAAAATAACTTTCTAGTTGTTAAAAAGGGTTATGACCCAAACAATTTTAGCAATCCCATGCTAAGTAATACTTTAAATAAAAACATCAATACCAATATCAATACCAAAAACCATATCAATAACATGACTTTAAACGGTAATGTGAATACAATAAATAACAATACCATTATTAACAATCCAAAATCAAATAGCACTATTACTAACCACTCAAAAAATATCATTGGATCTAATTCCAACGGTATAACAACAAATAATCGTCAAAATATTAAAAATAATGACGTCACTTTTGATGAAGATTTCAATTTTACTGGTAGAAATCCAACTACAAACAATTTCGACTCGCCTTATAATATGAATACTAATACAAATAAGATTCCGACTATGGGTATTAATACAAAACTGAAAAACCAACTGAAAAACCACAATAGCAATTATCATTCGGGAAATTTCAACAGTCAGCAAGGATTCACTATAAAAAAAGAGCTACCGAAATCATTACAAGAATTATTTGAATACTCACTATATGAAGGAAATGTGAATAATAATAACAATAGCAATAACAATAGTAATAGTAATAACAATAACAATAACAATAACAATAACAACAATGATAACAACATGCTTAATAATGAAATTAGTATAAATCTTGATTTAAATAGTTATAATGATAATACATTTGAAATTCCTTCAGCGTCGAGTGCAATAATATCAAGAAGTAACACGCCGATAAGAGAAATTGAAATACCTGAAATGAATATGATAGAAATCCCATCAATGGATGATTTAACTGCTGTTAGCCTAGCCAATCATAGTATTAGTAATACTACTAATAACAAAAACAATAAAAGCAATAATAATGAAATAGACGAAAGTATTCAAGCTCCACCACAAATATCTACATTGCTATCCAATAGTAATATGGGAAACATAGGCAATATGGGGAATAGTGGGAATAGTGGGAATAGTATTATGAGTAATATAGAGACCAATAAAACTAGTAATAATAGCAGTAATAATAATAATAATAATAATAATAATAATAATAATAATAATAATAATAATAATAATAATAATAATAATAATAATAATAATAATAATAATAATA